CGCGACCGTCAGTTCTCCCACCCCAGAGCTACAGGCGCATAGTCTGCAAAATGTACAAGCACTAGAAGCCCGAAATTCGTGTCAAGATTGCTTTGAAAACGCTCATCTGAAGTATCGCACAATAACATCGAAGAATTTGCACAATGCTTAAACCACCAGCCAGTTTCTATTGGTATGCTCTCTACCCACCAATTACACCCCAATCATACCATCATTCCATTATCCAGCAAGCTGCTCGATGCGACGAAGCTGAATCCGCCGAACAACTCGCCCTCCCCGGGGTGGCTGGCTGGCGGACCGGACGCCCGGGCCGCATAATGGTCGTCGAACGCGTGCACGATCGGACTCAGCGGCAGCTGCGTGAAATCCATCGAGAAGTTCTCCGCCAGGGCTGGGTCCGTCACAACCGGATTGATAGGGGGTGCCACCTCCCGTCGCTCCAGCGCCTTCCAGTCGATCTTCCGGAAGAAGCGGTGGTTCTTGATCGTCTGCAGGTCCTTGGGCATGTGGTATCCCAGCCGCTTCGACGGCTCCTTGCGGAGCAGCCGAGTCAACAGGTCCTTGGCATCGGGACCCAGGAAATAAGGCAGAGCCAGCTTCTGTTTCACTATCTTCTCTTGCAGCTTGGCGTTGTTGTTGGCTTTGAATGGAGGAGATCCGGTGAGCAGGTCGTAGCCCAGCGCGCCCAGGGACCACCAGTCACAGGCTTTGCCGTACGACTTGCCCTGCACGACCTCCGGCGCCATGTACTCAATCGTGCCCAGCGAGGAGTTGCAGCGGTCGTCATCGTTGACGGCAATCTTACTGAGGCCAAAGTCCGTCAGAAGCAGATGGCCCTCGCTGTCCAGCAGGCAATTCTCCGGCTTGAGATCGCGGTAGATGACCCCGACAGTTTGGTGGAGATGTTCGAGGGCCAGGACCATTTCCGCCATATAAAATGCAGCCGCATCCTCGTCGAACATACGCTCCATAGCCAGGTGGGTGAACAATTCGCCACCCTCCGCATACTCCAGGATCAGATACAGTTTCTCGTGGTCCTGGAACGCGTAAAAGAGTTTGACCACGAATGGGTGGCGGTTGACACTCTCCAGGATCGTGCGCTCAGTCTTGGTTTGTTCCACGAGCTTCTTGTGAACGGTAATCGACGCCTTGCGAAACTGTTTCTGCGCGTACAGCTTTCCCGTGAGCACATGGCGCACCAGCAATACAGTCCCGAAGGACCCCTTCCCAAGGCAAAGGAGGGGCTCAAAGTCATCGGTGGTCATTTTTCGGCACAGCTGAGTACGCATATCCCGCACGCTTGATGTATTCTGCGAGTCTTCCTCGGCGGCCGCGTCGGCGCTGACATAGTCATGCTCCAGAGGCACCTCGTAGCTAGTCAGGACCTCGGTCTGATCACTGTCGGAGCACACACTGGCGTTACTCGGGGTCTCAGCGGGGCCGGCTCGGGTGCCATTGCCAGACAGGCTCATCGAATCCAGCTGGAGCTTCAGAGCGCTCACCCCACAGCCAGCCGCAGGCTGAACCAACGGACTGCCTCCATTAGTCCCGGCACGAGTGCGCGGGTGCGAGCTCGGTGCGCGAGAGCTGGCAGCCGATCGGTCCGAGTCCTCATCGGCGGATCCCCGGGGAGTGAACCCGCGCACGGTCGAAAGGGCCGGGGCGACCTCATGAACCACCTGCTTTTTCTTCTTCTTGCGGCGGTCAGCCTTCGCGGCGAGCGGGTGTGCGTTCAGCTCTGGAGCCGGAAAGGGATTGCCTCCATGAACTCCAGGCCCCTTGATCATGGGTCCTTGCTTGCGCTGGGGGCTGCGGGCGCTCATACGAAAGCCGGTTTCCGGGGCGTCACTCATATTGATATCCTTGTGTGAATGCGACATGTCGGCTTGCGGACTGAACACATCGCCGACCGAAATGTCATCGTGACCAGCAATATTCGCCGAGGTATCCATTGTGTCGTAAACGTCTTCTCGGATTTCTCTCTATCCCCGTAATTGACCAAGCACGATCTAGCAGCCGACCAGAACGGCAACAGCACGATGCGTAAGCCAAGGGCGATTAAATGCACCCAGGCATCGACAAATCAAGGCACTCCTCTAGTTGAGACCTAATCAAAGTAATCTAATAACACAATGGGAGAGATCAGCTTTTTTCTTGTTTTTCTTTCCACGCCCCCACACGCATATCCACACACACACCCACGCACAAGCGCGGGGTATGCACAGAAAACCCTAATTTTCCATATGCAAGGGGGGTCAAGGAACTATCGGAGCAGCGTACACTTGGTAGCACACAATCCGAGAGGGCCAAGCAAACCAGCAGGGAAGTTACGCGGCAGCCTGCAAGATCTCTCGGATATAGCACCTATTTACCGTCCGCCCTTGTTCAGGACGGACCATGGACCCTAAGCCAGAACACCTTGTCGTCGGAGATGGAGTGAACGGACGACACGGCCGAGAAGCCAGTCGAGGAGGGAGTGTTGAGAGACGCCGAGAAAGGGAAATTCGAGTCGAGAGTCAGCAAACGAGAGCGGGGGCAGCGGATAAAAGCGGACGACGAAATCGAGGGCAGCGCAGACAAGCACATAGAGGAACGGCTAAGGCGAGGATGGACGAGAGAGCAGGGGATGAAAACGAGACTCCAAGGAGCAGGCACAAGAGGCACAGCGAGGGTTAAGAACCGGGTGAAGATCCCTTTTTAAGAAGAGAGGGAGAAGGAGAAGAAGAAGAAAGTGAGAGCTGACTTGGATTTGCTTTGACAAACGGGAAAAGAAAGCTGCCCGGCCTCGGCGCTGAGTGTATTTTTCCCGGCCCGCGGGCCAATCAGCGTGTGCCGGTGCTAAGCGACGCTAGACCCGATAGAGTAGCATGACTTCACGTGTTGCGGTCATTGGAGGATGGCACCTGATTGCCTAATCGGGCAATCCGGGGAAGCTGCCTGAGGATCCATAGCCATACAACTCCGTACTTACAAAAATTATTTATACTACAATATTATGCTATGCGTATTCTGGAGGGAAGAGAGACGGATGAATGGTGTTGTCCCAGGATCTTGTTATAGAATTACTCAAGTCACTTATGCAGGGGTACTAGTAGATCTTCCGACAGGCTATAAACTCCACCGGCCGAACCAACTATTTAGTAATTATTTCGTGCTAGAGGTTAAGATCCATCCAAACTCCCTGCAGGCATTTCATGCATCTCTCCCCTCAAAAAAGGCCTGCGACCGAGTGATTTCCACCCCCGATCCCTCCACAAATGCCAGCGCACTGGGCTTTTCAACCCGCACCGTCACCCGTTCATTCCCGAATTCCACCGTGACAATGCGCGCGACAAACGTCGCCAAGGCTTCCACCGTCTGGAAAGAGGTAGTTTCGACCCGCTAGTAATGTGTAGACTGAATTAGCCACGCATCCCGGTAGAAGTACAAACACATCGAATAAATAATAACTCACCTCAGCGACAGCCCGGGTCATGGCTTGGTACGAATTGACCACCGTAGATCCCCAGGGCAGCTGCCCGGGTCCCTTGAACTCCAGAGAGACAATGACCGCCTGTTTCTCCACCCTCTCGTGAGAGTTGACGCCCAAGATACAGTAACAACGAATCCCATCAATGCGGAACTCCTCCTCCAGCACAACCGGACACCTCTCTGACTCTCCCACATCGTCCGTAATAGCCTCATTAGCCTGACGGTACCCCCACACCGTCACACTCCGGTACTTGAGTCCTTCTTCCGCACGCAGCAATGCCTTGGGAAGATGCAAAGACACTTCACATTGACCAAACACCCCATCAATAGGCGAAGTCGAAGCTGAATTGAAAATTGCCGCCAGAGCCTGGGACTGAGAGCCCGCCGAAGCACTGCTTCTCCGCTGAGTGTTGTGCACGTGCGACATCCTACGAACCCCGGCAGCGGTCTCATCCAATAGTCCCAGGCCACAATGAGCCACAATTCCGGCCGTCAAGCGCACATCCTGTCCCACATCACTTGCCAGCATCTCGTCGCGACGGCTGCCGTCGACACTGATCATTCGGTGTCCCGGATTCTCGGGATGCTTGCCCAGGTTGCGGATATCCTCTTCGAGACGGCGGTAGAGCTTGCCGTAGTCCAAGGAGAGGGAGACATCGTCGGCAATGGCGGCGGCCACGGCGGAGGAGTATGAGAGCTTCAGCGATGCCGTGCAAGGCTGCGATTTACCGGGACGGTGCCACGGGTCCGGGGCAGCAGGGAGGGGCAGTTCAATGTTGCGGAGACGCACGCTATCCAGCACCGGGGGGTGGGATGGGATATGGACATTTACGCGTTGATCGGCCATGGTGACTGTAGGTGGGAGACGGAGATCTGGAAAGAGGGAGCTGAATCTAGTCAGCTCCTGAGGTAACGAGCTCGAAGCTGCAGCTGCTGGAGTACCAGACAATCAATGGGCTGTTGTGACGTCAACCAGTAAGCGTGGGAGCTCCAGTCGAACTCTCGGTAGAAGTAGCACCCACCAGATACAGAAAGCTACCACTGCAGTCGCACGGATCAATTGGCCTTTCTGAATTTGAAATTCAATCCCACCGCGGAGAAATTCTCGAACAAAGAGCAGCGATGGAAGGAAATTTCGCGCGAGCTGCGGATGACGAGACGATGGCGGGGTTTGGTTTAGCGCGGGGAGCTGCTCTCTTCTGCGGGACCCACGCGAGTCACTTGTAGTAAACTATTCCTACACAACCACATCTAGCTATGCACTCTCCTTCCACAATCCACAAGCGTGGAAATACTATATTTTAGTTGGTGAACTATACACAATATCCCGGAGGGTAAAATGATCGACATCGTGGGTATTTACGTTAAAGGCCAAGATCCATCCGCATCCGCAGGTTCATCCGTACATTATGTGCAGGAAGCCGTCCACACCGGCAAAAACCACTGACACGGCTGTCCACATACGCCTGCTTTTTAACCTCGATTAAACCTTCCAGTCGGAGCCCGGAACCAGCGGGGCTAGATATCATGGTCACATCAAGTGATGAAAACAAGCGCCAGTGTCGTTCCGTTGTCCGTGTCATTCTGACACACACACACACACACACACATTCGTATCTTGGGCCGTGTCCGATCCAGAAGCTGACTCCGAAATGGGAGGTATCAACTCATCCGGAACGGCCATGAGAGGGGAAACCAATCAACAAGAGAAAACAAAGGGGGGAAAGCATGCACAATGGGTATCCGCCATGCGCTGAGTGGAACACAACCAACGAGCTAATTACAGACAACTACCAGTATCCGCGGCGGTCATAAGGCATGTACTCGCCCCGGGGTGGGCTGCGAGGCCGTCCATAAGGGCGAGGGGGTGCGTAGGGGTCGTCATAATGGCGAGGTGGTGGTGGCGGGCGGACATCGTACGGGTCATCGTAGGGACGACGCGGGGGAGGGTAGTCTTCCATCCGAGGGCGGGGGGGAGTACGACGTCCATATCCATCCCGGTCATAATAGTCCCTCCGGATTGGGATGGGGGAGCGTTCCCGATAGTGAGCCCGGGGGCTGTATCCCCGTGGCGCAGGGAACCGCCGGTCATATTCATCCATGGGAGGGTAGCTCCGACGCGGGGATCGAGACCGGTACGGGTCACGAATGGCACGTTCATCCGGGTAAGTTTGAATCTAGGAAGGGTATGAGAATTCTCGTTCTACTCAGATCACAGGTACCAGTAAAGTTGCTTACATCGGCAATGCAAGTGACGCGGGAGCCTTTGAATTCACGTCCATCCAGTTTCTCAATGGCCGTCTTCAGGTCGTTGGCGGTTTCAAACTCCACGAATCTTGGGAGCATGTGTCAATGGGGCCCTGTCCGACCGGATAGAAAGTTGAAGGATTAACCCACCCTCTGCCGAGTTCACGGCCAGTTTCAGAGTAAACCACGTCCAAGCCAGATTGACGTGCAAAGTCTTTAAGATCCTAGATAACCCCAGGGTGTGAGTCCATATCCAGGTGCAAAAGTGGTACAGTGGTATCCGATGTGTCCGGGTGCCCGCAAGTAGGAAAATACAAGATGGAAAAACAGGCCAGGAAAGGACCCAAGCAATGCAGGGTAGTAGGCGAAGGGATCCTTCAATGACTGCGGGGGCGTTCCATTCTGGACGGGGTTGTCCGGCCTCGGTTCTCAGCACTCAGAGCTGGGGTTCGATCATGGAGGCAGCCATCCAGCCTTCCTTTCAGTTAGGTGGGGTCCGAAAGTTGGTTGGTGAACGACCCATACATCAAGAGGAGCTGATCATCGTCGCCAGGATTCCCTTGGGCCGTCGGTGGAAGAACATAGAATGGAGTACAGGGCAAAAATGAATCAGGGAACGCAAATCGGCCGAGATGCAAGGCGTCCGGTGGATCCAGAAGAAAGGGGACTTGGGCTGCTAACCTGCCAACTTGTTTCCGGGAGTCCAGAAACCATCATGCGAAAGATCGTGCGACGCGGACGAGGCATATTGGGACGGTCCATTGGGCCAGGGAAGTTCTCCTTGCGGCGCGGTCCACGGGCAAATTGCACGGTGAGGCGCTCGCCTTTGAAATCACTACCGTCTGCATGAGGGGTTATGTCAACCATGAAGATCTTTTAAACTGGTGCTTGCGTTGGTACATACGGAAGGCTAGATAATCGTCCTACGTTAGCAGGCTCCCGCGACAGCTAGGGCGCATAATAGGGTGACTTACCGGGTACAACATCTCTAGCATCCATCGCATCCTCATATTCAATGAAACCGAAGCCATTCATGAGCTTGATCTCTGTAATCTTTCCGGAACCATGGGTGCTGAAATGCTCCTCGATATCCTGTTTGGTCACTGTAAAAGAAACCCCACTAATGGCGCCCAACAGGGGCGCCGTGAGTAAAATGTCAGCTTACTGCGAATGGAGTTGAAGGAACAAACAACCGAGACAACTTGATTTTTGAGTTCGAAGCTGCCAACCCGGTATCCGGAACACTGAGATTACCGTGATACAAGCAAGGAAGATTGAAACAAAATGAAGGAAAATCCGCCGTCAATCTCCCGAGGGGAGGGGGAATCTCGGTGACTCAGGGAGGTCAATCCAGACGCATGACGATCCAGCGGAACATCCCGATCTTTGTGTCGAAGATAGAGTGGACAAGAAGGGTAACATCCAGAGCGGGTTGAAGAGAAAACAAGGAGACCTAAGGAGACTTTGTAGATGGCTTCATACCATTGCGGGGGAGGTTCCCGAGATAGAGTCGGGTGGACGAGACTTCAGTCATGGCGGATAGTAGATGGTGAAAGAGGTAAGACTAGCACAGCGCGCACAATTGGTCGAGGCGAAATCCGTCCAGGCGGACTAACAAGCAAATCGCAATCGCAACACTTCTGGCCTTGCGGGAATGTGGCCCAAACAAGAAGATTCCGATTCAGTGATGGCACAGGCGACTGAAATGGAAACGGATCCTTGAGGGGTCAAACGGGTCGTTATCCTGGGCAATTTAATGCTGGCAGTTGTGATGGCGGTGGTATTCAGCAGAGAGATAGTTCCTGGTGTTTATCCGGGGAATGCGAGGAGACCATAGAACGGTTCCAGAAGGTAACGGTGGGCCTGATTGATTAGGGAAGCAAGGAGAGGATAGTTTGGTACGCTGAGGGGACAGCTGAACCAGACAACCAGTAGCTCTCAGATGGAAGCTGGCCTTCGCGCGCGCGGAGACACACACACAATCGGGACTGGAAGAGGGTTAGAAGGTAACGGAGAGCCGGTTGAGCGGGAGAAGGAGAGCGGCAGCACGGGGAATCCAGGGAAGCGCTGGGCAAAGAGAGCGAGACAGCAGGATCAGAGAAGAGACGAGGGAGAAAGGAGAGTTTTGAGGGCGAATCGACCGGGTCACAGCAGGGAAAAGAGGAGAAGCGCGGACTGATTGGGAGAGGCTGACCGCCCTGCCAGACCAGAAATCCGGGTGGAAATCGAAATTCAAGTTGATGCTGGCGGTGGGAGGGCACCCAATAGGAAGCCTCAGTCTGGAATCGCCTCACTTTGTTTCCCTCGGCGGGATCCACGTGGCCCCGCCTGACCTTTTCTGGATTTTGTCATGTAGTCTACAAGAGGCAGTGCTGTGGCCCATATTCCAGTTCATAGTATTATGTTGAATGTTGAGCAGCGGATCTACATGGGCCTTACTCGAGTCCTATGAACCAGCACCACTACTCCGGTACAGCCCTGCTGCATCCTCTATAATTATCTCGGCTTCAGCCCACTTGAGTGGCCCGGTCAAGCTTCCTACTAAAAGTAGTTGAATGCTTGAGTCGTTTCAACCTTCTAAAACACAAACAGTAGTAACAATATGTTAGACAATGATCGAAGGAAGAATGACAATTAAATGAACGTCTATAACATATTGATAATTGAAGTACTTCTACGCCAGGTCATCTCCGCCACTGATTATCACTTTGTTGTTTCTTGCTGTTAAACATCTAACTACCCCATACTAATTAATTACTTTGTAATGTAGAGATATGGGACCTCCACTAACCTGCACTGGGTATAGTCCCTGCCAAGCAATTAACAAGGCTGTCAATTCTGCAGGTATGCAGTCGCAGCTGAGGTTCAGCTCCAATGAATATGACTGATCTCATCATCAGGCAAAGTGATGCATATTTGCCACAGGGTGGCTGGACAAATTTCATTTTGTGATCTTCAAGGAAATTTGTGTTAAGGTAATATGATCTGACTGTGAGGGTAGTCAGCATCTCAATTAGATACTAAAGAAAGGTTTATAGAATTGTGAATTCTTTTTGTTAAGTTGATGATGTTCTGGCTTTGATCGGCGTGGACATACTTTGTATTGAAATTTTCACATCGTCTAAGTATGTCCTCAGAAGGCAGTCTTCGACATATCTCACCCTACAATGTATGTACTTGACTGTAGCTATCGCTACCCCTAAGATACAAAGATGAGGTAGTATCTTACTTTTACCCACATCATATAACTTCCTATTAATTGTATTGCGTACTATCGTAGCCTGTATACCAAGAGAATCATTGTCATGCTATGAAACGGCAGGTATTGGTTATATATACCGATTTATCTGGATATTTTGCCACTAGAACGCCCTACCTCCTCATGAATTGCCAAATTTGACCGGTCATTCACATAACTTCAGAAACGTACTACACTGACATACTCATTTTGAGACACCATCAGATGATGATAATGTTTATGTAATAATATACTGTATTCTTGCATGTTTTTCTTCAAGTGGATCATATTGTCATTGATAGCTTGTAGCACTCCTTAATCATATCCCATGGTATATTCATCTTTCTTTTTTTATCATTGTAAACTGAGGCAGCATACCACTGGAGAATATCCACGAGCTCAGAGGCATTTTATAGGAGCCCGGTGGGCGTCCAGTTGGTTAGCCATCCTACTACTCCTATATATATATTAGCTAGCCTGAAAGATAGGGCCTTAGGTCTCGTCAAAAATGTCTCAGGTAAAGGACCACTAATGTTCTCACTCGTTGCCAACATTCTCTATCTTATTTCTAGCAATAACTACGAATACGACATGACCGGTAGCGACAAAGTCGATATCCTAACAATACATTACTACTTTCTCTACATAACTATACGCGGGGACGAAGTTTACAATATCTCCAACCTTTCCGAATAGACATATACCATAAACATCGCAAAACCCACTTGATCCCAGACGCGCTTTCAATACTATCATCGTTTTGCCAAGATGAAGTCGAACCGTACTCGCTCGAAGCCCTCTACGGGACCAATGTCGAACTTGCCGCAAGACTCGTCGCCGTGGTGGGTGGTGCTGCGATTCACTTTATACCTGTTTCTCGGCATATTTTCTCAGGAAATTCCAACGAGTGATTCAACTCCGCAGATCGAGATTTGGTTCGTACGCTGAAGATACTGTGGTGCATGTGTTGCCTTCGGGCTATTGTACGCCAGTTCAAGCCGGAAGAGATGAAAGGACAAGGGAAGGTTTGAGATTAGATGCGTACTTGATCGCGGCACATCGATCTGTGTCAATAGTGTCCTGCTAGGAACAACAATTGTGAAACAGGATAGTTTCGCTGACTTTCTGATAAGAGCACATATATAAAAACAACGAAGGCTGCGGCCTGATATAAGCTAGAGACACGGAGGCAACTCAAAGGATAATGATAGTAGTGGTGATAAGGACGGTGGCTGATAGGGTTCTGGGAGTAATGAGAGGTGGGTGTGATCGAGGAGCGAGGAAGAAGCGATTTTATAAGCCAACGAAATGCAGTGAAGACATGTAGAATGTAAAGTAGTCGCACCACCTATCTTCAAGATTTGCAATATTGAATGAGGCAGTCACCGCTGTAGGGGAATCAAGACATATGAGGGGAGTGAAGAGATGAGGTATTTATCGATAACATACTATGTGAAGGAGACTGAGTTGATACACAGTGGAGAATGGAGCGTAGGTATGAAGTGTGCAAAGTATGGGAGCGCTGTATACATCCCCTATTTATCATTTATAGTATACTCCGTAGAACTTGCACAGATTATTTGCATGAGCAACATAAGCAAAGAAAGAAACGGATGTTACAGGAAGCAAGAAGGGCAGATATGAGTTCCAGAGGTAAGTGGTGGACATACAAAGGGTCCAGTGGAGCGGTAAAGGGAGTAAAGCCATAGCCTGCATTAGAAGACACCGGACAGACTCCACTTATGAGGAAGCGATTTTAGTAGGCCCTAAGCGGGGATCCTTGCAGCACAGAGCACTCAGCAGTCAGGATATACTATAGAAGAACATGTGTTCGGAGGCTTCGCTTCACATGAAAATGGCTCTCCTCTGGGTTATGCCTTGATCACGTGCAATTTTATTATCAGGATGCTGGACAAGTCATCAACCCTTTTTCTTCAGGGAGATTGAGACACTTGGAGAGGCGTTGGCAGGTAGTAGAGCTTCTGACTGAATGTTCAAATTGTATATAACTGGTAGTCATTAGTTATCTATGTATGGGTGATCTTTCTACCGGCATCACTGTTACATCAGCCGCAGTATAGGCGATGCCGTCGTTGAGTTCCGGCCAGTAGAGCCAGCATTTGGCACAATGGATCTGCTAGCACTCTAACGTCGTCTCTATGGTGGATTCCCTCGGATGGAAAGTGGCACCCATGATATATCCGAAGACGGCTACATGCGAGACTCGATCAATTGACCCCAGGGTTGGAGCACCGCCAAAATGATATCCGACGGGATTGACGGCAAACCCGCGGGCGGAGCGGCAAGCGTGCGAGTGATTCCCATCACCGACGATCCTATTGGCCGACATAGCCTCGGGTAGTCCAAAGGCAGGCCAAGTTCTGCCCGCAACCTTCAACGCCGACCGCCAAATTTTATCCCACGGCCGCCATATTATTAGTCACGCCTTCATTGCCGGTGACGGAGAGGGGACTTGCCTACTTACTCTTCTGATCTGGATTCCACGCTTGAAGTTGTTTCTTCCTACTCCTTTCAACATCATCCCGCTCGGAGTCATTTCTGCGCCCTCTTCGTTCGCCACTCCTTCCCCCATTGCTTGCTCCCATCCTACCATGCAGTTGTCTCGTTTATAGGAGCTCCCCATCCAAGCAACGATACTGTGACCTCTCCAACCTTGCTTCCTTCCTGAACCCCCGCCATGGCTTCGAAAGGAGCTGTCTTGCCTCTTTTGAGGCGCGAATTGCGACCCACTTGGTCGCGACTCTCCAGATCTTCCGCGCCTCTCGCCCCCTTCAACAACTCCGCTCGAATCTCAAACAGTTCCCTCGCAGCGTCCGGCAAGCGTGCCATTCGTCGCACATCGTTCTTCCCGCCAATCCAGACTCGGGCCTTTTCGCAATCACTATCTCGAAAGCTGACCGATGAGCATGGCAATTTTGATCCGCGACAGTTGGACCGGGAGTCGGATGAGGTCGATGTTTGTATCGTCGGTGGTGGTATGTAGAATGGCCCGGGTCTCTCTCCTTTGGCGGTTAGAGGTATGGCACAGGATTCAGTGACTAACCGACTGTCTTTATCACAAATTAGGCCCTGCTGGTCTGGCTGCTGCCATTCGATTGAAGCAACTCGCCAACGAAGCCGGCAACGAGGAGTTCCGTGTCATTGTGCTGGAAAAGGCCGGTGAACTTGGCGCGCACGTCCTTTCGGGTAACGTCCTAGAGCCTACCGCCATGAACGAGCTGTTGCCAGATTGGCTGTCGGAAGACAATCCGTCTCGCTTCGAGAATGTGACTCCGGCGAAGGAGGATAAGATGCGCTTTTTGACTAAAAACTCGTCCATTCCGATCCCTGCGCCGCCACAGATGAACAACCATGGCAACTACATTATCAGTCTGAACGAGCTCACGAAATGGATGGGAGAAAGAGCCGAGGAACTGGGTGTTGAAGTATACCCCGGTTTTGCGGCCAGTGAACTCGTCTACAAGAAGTCGGATGGCTCGGTTCTCGGTGTAGCCACCAATGATTTGGGAGTCGGTCGCGACGGCAAGGCCAAGGACAGCTTTGAGCGGGGAATGGAGTTCCACGCCCGCGTTACCCTTCTTGCTGAGGGTTGCCATGGTAGCTTGACGAAGCAGGTGATCAAGAAGTACGACCTGAGACGCGATAGCCAGCCCCAAACCTACGGTATTGGTGTGAAGGAGATTTGGGAGATTCAACCCGAGAAGTTCAGACCCGGTGAGATCACGCACTCCTTGGGCTACCCCCTTCCCAGCGACACCTATGGCGGTGCGTGGATGTACCATTTTGGCGATAACATGGTTAGCATTGGCTTGGTAGTCGGGTTGGACTACCCGAACCCCTGGCTGTCGCCCTATGGCGAGTTCCAGAAGCTCAAGCACCACCCTCTTTACAAGGAAGTCCTGGAAGGTGGAAAGTGCATCTCCTACGGCGCGCGGGCTTTGAACGAGGGCGGATTCCAGTCGATCCCGAAGTGCGCTTTCCCGGGAGGAGCCCTGATTGGCGATAGTGCCGGTTTCTTGAACGTTCCGAAGATCAAGGGTACCCATTCTGCGATGAAGTCGGCCATGCTTGCTGCTGAGTCCGCTTATGCGGCCCTGCAGGGAAGCTCGGAAGGCTCTGTATTCTTGTTCGACTACGAAGAAGCTCTGCGCAAGTCGTCCATCTGGAAGGAGCTGTACGAGGTGCGTAACATGCGGCCCTCTTTCAGCACGCCACTGGGTCTCTACGGCGGTATCCTGTACTCTGGTCTTGAAGCGTACGTTCTCAAGGGCAAGGCTCCCTGGACTTTGAAGCACCACGGCACGGATGCTGCTGCGACCAAGATGGCGTCTGAATGCAACAAGATCGAGTACCCCAAGCCGGACGGAGTGATCAGCTTCGACATCCTCACCAGCGTCAGCCGCACGGGTACCAACCACGAGGAAGACCAGCCGGTGCATTTGCAGGTGGAAGACTGGGACAAGCACACCGATGTTGCCTGGCCCAAGTACCAGGGTGTCGAGAACCGTTTCTGCCCTGCCGGTGTGTATGAGTACGTGGAGGACGCTAGCAAGCCTCACGGCGTTCGCTTCCAGATCAACTCTCAGAAGTAAGTCAACCCTACATGCTCCTACTGTTTCTCTTGCTAACTGGTCATAGCTGCATTCACTGCAAGACCTGTGATATCAAGGTGCCTACCCAGGATATCAACTGGCAGACTCCTCAAGGTGGAGAGGGCCCGAAGTACTTTATGACTTAGGCCTAGAGTTCTTTCCACACTTACATATTTGTCTTCGCCCTTCATCAGGGTACAAAAAGGATTGGATGGATAAGAGTATCCATTGTGGCGTTGGTTATTAATGTTTGATCATGTTTCATTTCCAGGCCGGTGGATGCCTGTTACGTTATTGCGCGTTGAGCCCGGATAGGGCCTTGTATATATATAGTTGTACTCCATAGTCTGCGGTGACGATGAATTACTGAGTATACCGTTCACTCGGGATATAAGATGTTTTCCTCAGCGTAAGCTGGCTGAATAGCAGCGCACAGATGTCTAGGTAGTGTCTCAAACTGATTGCTGAGGCAGCAAAAAGCTAGCCTGATGTTAGATGTGCTACTATATCACAGCAGTAGTATGCTTTCCAGTACATGAGCTTAGCCACATCAGCCCTCCCATGAGCATATACATTGTATGATGTAACCAACTGCACTGCTAGCACATGCAAATGAGAAGCCATTCAGGAACATACTTCCGTAAACACTCCCGAATTTCATCATCCCCCATCACAACCCCCGATGAATCTATTCCCTAACCTCACAACGCCGTCATACAGTCCCTAACCCCCGCAACTACCATGCTCTAAAGCAGCAATCCAGACCGAACCTTCACGAAATCCACTCAAGGAAGAATCTTAATCACCGAAATGGTGCGACACAGCTATAAAAGACGCGCATCTATCCCAGAGTTCCAAAACGTGGCTATCAGGCCTACTACGACCAAACTCACCATCACCATCATCATACTACAACAACCGATCAACCACTCCTCAAGAGCAAACATGGTCTCCAGTTCTTCAACCAGCATGCCATCAACTCGCACCATTACCACTCCTTCTCCAATCGACGACGAAGACGTAGAAGTGGTGGACACCCCCTCCACTTCTTCTACTTCCTCTTCATCCCCTTCATCCATCCGCCTCACGGCCGCCGGAAAATGCAAAGCGGAACTCAAATCCGGCAACATAGGCCTAGAATGTCCCTGCAACAGGGGCGTTTTCCTTCTCTCGCACACAAACGATATCGGAGATAAATGCGTCGAGTGCGAGCACACCATGGCAGATCACAAGGGCGCTGATACCCAGCGAAAAGGCATTTTCTTCCCCATTCCTTTTCCCCCTCTATCTCTACAACCCACATCCACACCCAATCTCCACCAACAATAACAATAATATAGTAGAAGAACCTCCCACCCCCCGCCACACTACCCTCACCAAACTCATGAACCTAATGGACCTCTACCCCCTCCTCTACGTCCGCGGCATCCCCGACAGCGGTAAAGGAACCGTGAACCAATTCCGGCGCGATAATTTCATGCTGATGACTCGCGAGCAAGAAGCGCATAGTTTCTTTCTTCCTGTGGATAAACCGCTTGAGGAGTTCGACTCCGAGGAAGATCTCCTCACGCAGTTTGTTAATTCGTTTAATCGGCTATGTAAAGAACCGCGGTTCTTTTTCCTGGTGCTTTATTTTCTGACCCTGTCGGCGTTTATGGGGGTTCGGTTTCTTGAATTGGTGGTTTTGCCGTATTTGCCGGCTCCGGGGAAGGGGATGAGGGGGTTGAGATAGGAGTCTGGATTAGTATTTTGGCTTCTAGGATAAATGAGAGAATGTATTGAATGTATGCTCTATAGGAGTTGGTGTTAAGTTAGTATTCAAGAGTATATGTGTTGTAGTAGATAGTAGCTGTAGGGCAGAATATATATATATATAGTTCCCAAAACGGAAAAATCACCACAGAAACCGGTGTACTGACGATCCACGATAACCATAACCCAATCGTAATAAACTAAGAATATCCTTTAGTTAGTTACTACTGCATCAACTATGCAGCGACCGAAAAAAGGGGGGGCCAACGTGACCGCCAGATGATGATGATCACATGAAAGGGCACAAAAACAAACGACCCTATGACGCCAAGCTCCCGAATGCGAATGCGATGCTTTTTGCCGCTTGCCGAACAAACAAGCAAGCAAGTAAGCAAGCGACAACTAACGCTGACAGCCCATGTGATGTTACCGACCGACTTTTTGTATTTATTTATTCCCCCGTAGTTGCATAGAAAATTATTTTGTTGACCTTTCAACTACTACATTTGTGTACAGTAAGCTGATTCTCACTGAAGGGATAGGCAACAGTTTGTACCGACGGAGTGGTACGGGATTATTCTAGTCATGATGTCCTCCGTCCGGCATATACCCATGGTAAAGTGAAAAGTGAAAAGTGAAAATAGACATGAAACGGATCCATCCCACACCAACCATTCTAATAACAGTAGATATTCCGGGGAGGCTGAAGTTGGAAGTAACAAACTTAGACGGAAAGTAAAAAAGGTATGGGAAAGGCCACCTGGCCGGATTACGTATTGAAGACGGCTGGAGCCGCTGCCTGCCGACCGACCGACCGACCGACAGTTGAGTCAAAAAGTCGCGTCGCGGAAGTTTTCCTTTGAAGCTGAGATTTGAGTTGCGCGTTAGGGAAAAAAAAAAAAAAGGTCAGTAGCCTATGACCCTTGTCGAGGCTACTTCCGTCCCCTGCACTAAAATTAATGAATGAACACCGACCGCAGCGCAAGGCTACGATCGGAGGGGGCAAGATTAGTGGATCAAATAGGCTGGTAATGGCCTGAGATCTACTATAAGTTGTCTGGGGTATGTTATTATGATGGTATGGAACTTGGCTGGGAAGCGGCAAATCAAACGCCAAATGAGAGGCGAGAACGGCCTCGCGCGGGATGAACCCCATGACGCGACCGACGACGCGACCGGCGCGTACCGGGATGAGCAGATTCACGACTGGTCAACTTTCCTGGACAAACAGAACGGAAGACTGTGACTCAAGAATGAGATTCATCGATTTGATTAGCCGCTGTTGATGGTAGATAGCTGTGACTGTAGTGTAAGTACTGTGGAATCATCTTGATGATCATCGATGTATCGGGCCCAAACAAAAACAAAAATCTCCTTCCCCCAGGGTTTTTGTGTGCCGGGAAGAAATCAATCAGGAAGAGTGAGCGAAAGGGATCGAAGAAATTTTTGTTCAGTTGGCCAACGCTAAAGCGGCAAGGCAAAAGAAAAGAAAAGAAAAAAAAAGAGAGGGAGTGAAGGGGAAAAAGCCGAGAACAGTAAGGCGGCATGATTGGTAGACTGAAGAATGGATGGACTGGAAAGTGGGTCAGAGTTATCAGTTGCAGGAGCGACGCGGACTGGCTGGGGAGATGAGTGGCTGCAGGCCTGCAACCCCAGCGTAAGGGGGGCGACAGCCAACGAGAACGGGCGCAGGCGTGATGAGTGGAGTCGCCGATCAACAAACCAGAGATGACGGAATGGCGCTTGGCCACCCAAGAGCCGCTAGTGGAGGCGCTAACACGCAGCGAGCAGTGCCAGAGCGGCCACTTCCATGGGTGAAAATAGGTGAAAGCGACTCACTCGTCGCTGCTTTTGCCGCCGCCGCCGGGCCCAGCCCCCCCTGACGCCAGCTGCGCCCGGGCGCTGTGACTCAGCCTATATAAAGACCCAACCTCCCACTTTCCTGTCGCTGTTGGAATTTTTGATCCTGGTCTTGGCACCGCCCGGAAAGCCATACTGTCCTCTCTTCCCGCCCGCCATCCTCCCCTCCCCTCCCTATACTCTCTCTCCACACTCACGTACGGTTTGCAGAGATTACTGCTGATATCAGCTGTTTATATCTCTGCTAACAACCTGCTGGAATCTAAACATTTTCCGGGAAGAAGATTTTTTTAGGAAGCCAAGAAAAGAAAAAGAGTATCAAATAGGGAAAGAAAAATTCTTTTTCTTCCCTTTCTCTTTTCTCTTTCTGACTCCACCGTTATCAGTCCCCGTTACTGAAACAGGAAGTTTGCAGCCTCAGGTGTGCATCTTCGCCACTCTCTCTCCAAATCGCAGATAGACATTCCCAATTCATACAAAAACCAAAGAAAAGCAAACAAAACACACGCACCTTCCTCCCCTCACAAAAAAAAGTTGTGTCATCTACCACAAAAAAAAAAACAACGTGCTTTTTCCGTCACTTCACACTCCCTTCCTCTTCTGCACTTGTTCACTTACTTGACCCATAAGTCTGTGAACGCTGCTGCTCTTGAGTTAATCTCCCTAGAAAACACTTCACTGTGCTTTTCTAGTCCCCTGGTTGTTGCCTTATTCCCTCACCTCCATTCATCCTATCCTCCTTCCTCCGCGGCGGCTTTTTGTCATCGCCTGTCACATACCTTTGCACTCCACCTTGACTTCATTCCGTTTCGTCTTCGAAACGGTTTATCGCTTGGATCCCAAGGCAGTATTGCTGCAGGGGAGACATTGACTTGTCCATCTCCCGCAAAGGGTACGTTGTTCTCTTCACTTGGCTTTGACCTCACGTGTATTGCCTATCTCAGGCAAACACTTCAGGGAACCTGTTGCTCTTTTGAGTCTTCCTGAGCGTCATCTCCATCTGTCACTCACCTTGTCTGTCCTCTCTTGACTGACTTTGAGTTCTGCGTCTCCACAGACTGCTATCTGAAAAAAGCTTTTCTATTATCTCAGCGTCGGCTGGTTTACGGCTCGAGTACTCCACTACTCACGTCGCGATGGATTCTCTTACGACCCATCCTTCTACCGCGCAGCAGGCCCGGGCCTTCACTTCCCCCGCTTCTCTGTCCTTCCCCGGTGGTGCCGGCGATCTGACTCCGCCTTCCGATAAAGACGGAAACATGGCGATGGCTCAGGGTGCGAATGGGATGATGAACGGTCAGCAGCAGGGAGGAAATGCCACTAATGGCAACGGGGTGGCGCCCGCAACTCCAGCTGCGACTCCCGGTGCCAACACTCCGGGAAGTGGCATTGTGCCTACGTTGCAGTGAGTATACTCTTGCTGTCTCTACTTCTGGGTCACCAGATTACTGAACAATGATCTCTCTTTTTTCTTTAAAGAAACATTGTCGCGACGGTCAACCTTGACTGTCGTCTGGACTTGAAAACGATCGCACTCCACGCAAGAAATGCGGAGTACAACCCTAAGGTATTACTTTCCACACCTCCCTGTGCTTGATATGTCAGGGCATAGTGTGGCTGAACTGTTCTTTTTTTCTTCCAATAGCGTTTCGCGGCCGTGATCATGCGTATCCGAGAGCCGAAGACGACCGCTTTGATCTTCGCCTCGGGCAAGATGGTGGTTACTGGTGCCAAGTCGGAGGATGACTCCAAGCTGGCTTCCAGAAAGTACGCGCGTATCATCCAGAAGCTTGGTTTCAATGCCAAGTTCACGGATTTCAAGATCCAGAACATCGTGGGTTCTTGCGATATCAAGTTCCCCATCCGCCTGGAGGGTTTGGCCAGTCGCCATCACAACTTCAGTTCCTACGAACCTGAGTTGTTCCCCGGTCTTATCTACCGCATGATGAAGCCTAAGATCGTGCTGCTTATCTTCGTCAGTGGAAAGATCGTCCTCACTGGTGCTAAGGTCCGTGAGGAGATCTACCAGGCGTTCGAACTGATCTATCCTGTGCTTTCGGGTATGCATATCGCTCTCCTCGCTTCGGATCTGAAGTGGACCTTATGCTAACCAGCTGTAAAGATTTCCGTAAAGTCTAAAAGGGCATCGCCTTTCTCAGGAAGATCTCGACCACCTCGTCCTTCCCATCTTCATCAACTTGTATTAACACTCGGCTTTTCCCCTTGCACTGGCCCGCGAGGTTGTACTATGAACGGACAACGCGCTTCAACCCAGCACGGCTGATGCATTTTTTCCTGTTCCGATTCTCTTTTTTCTTCTACACCTTTGCACATCACGATTTTCATACTAGCATCTGTACGGCGTTCGAGCGATTGGTCTCTATTATCTTTTTTTCCTTCCTGTTTCAACAAACAAAGTGTCTCACCATCTTAGATAGTCGCACACCGCAGATTCAAGGGGGCGGTACTGTGCGCTGGTCGAATGGTTGCCTCCTTCTAATTATTGGTTTTCTGTTCTTTGCCTATTGGCAGTGACCCTCGAGTGATGGCCAAGGTTATCGCTCGAGGTGGTTCGGACCTCCGAGGACTTGCTTGCTATTGATTCGGAGGGTTAACTCTCAAGCTCAAGCACCCAAAAAAAAACTTTCGTGTTTATTGTTCTAGATCGCTACGCTCTGCTACGGAAGTGGATGAAATAAACTGGGAGAATGAAGGATGGGCGCGTGCCCAGGTTCCAAATAGTGGCATAATCATTTTTTGACTATTGCTTAGTCCTCTTGTGGGTAGAAAATGAACTTGAGACATGCATGCATCTGGGTTTGCTCCAGTGTCATATGATGTAGCACGGCAGTGTGAAACTGTCGGACATTAATCTTAAGTCTGTGTAGCTTGATAGTCTATAGTTTAATTAAGTCTTGGCCAATGTCTTATTTAAGTGTGTACCTGATCCTGATAGATAAACACTGCGGACGGGACCCTTGCATGAACCAATTCCCCGTGATTTGGGGTATCCCAACCGTTCTTCTGAAACAGTGGGTGGTACATTACTGATGTCATGCCACTAGACGTGTCTGGCTGTATGTAGTACTTCGCGTGTAGGATTTCATGTGCGTTTGAGATCCGGTCGGTGGTGTTGATTCAAATGAAGAAAAGCTCTAGTTTAGTGTACTCTTATCCTTGACTTTCTTTCCATCTAAATATGTTTGTTTCTATTTGGGGCAATTAATGTAATGGGATATGTATCTGTAGCAGTCGGTGCTTGTTTTGTTTGCTAATCAGCTAGACGAACATGATGATGCTAGCAAGTATCACCGTAGTTCTCTAGTTAGTGGTAAGTAGTATGTGTTATTGTTTTAATTGCTTGGTTCCATACTGATTGTCTTTTTTCGTTTTTGTCAGCATCGATCAGGAGGTACCTTACCCATCTATATATCATTTGGTTAGCATACACACATCAGAAAGGGCGATGTAATTCAGAGATGGACTTGCGTTGTGTGTAGAGGTGACGGAAGAACCTTAAACTCGTCAGACATCCTGTAAAGCCAATCATATCTGTAATAGGTTGTCCTCTGAAAAGGCGTGGGATATCGACCACATGCTCGCACTCCCCAGTCAGCTGGTGGCACTCGGGGCATATCTCCGGGTCAGGCCCGATGGTAAGGGGGGGATATGCCATGTTTGAAGGGACAATCAATCTCGACTAACCTGATGTGAAGTTTGCACTGCATCCTTGAAAAGACATGGCGCAAATAGATGGGAGTTTGGCTGGAAACTTCAAAGGAAGTAGGAGAGTTGGTGAGCGAGGACGATAAGTGAACGAGATGGTCAGCTGTGTTGTCAGTAATCGATGAAGGGAACCCTGCTATTAGCGGGTGACTTGTCTGGATACTTGGAGCAGAAAGCTCTAATCTTTGTTTTTAGCAGAATTGTCGACGGATTTCAGGGAGAGAGAGAGGGTCGATTGTGAGGTTCCATTCCGATAGAGGTGACATGACTACAGTCGAGTACATTTTCCAATTCGCTTCCTTGCGTGGTTGATAGATATACTAGAAAGGCAGTAACTGCCCATCCTGCTTAGGCAAGGACTCTCTACCTTGAATGTGAATTCATGTACTATCACCTTGGGTGTGAGTTTACTGGACGGATATATTCCCATGTCTTGCAGTTGAACTGCCCAGTTTTCCTAGGATCGAGCCAGACGATGTCTCGAAATCTGCATTTCATCCGACCACATACCTTCCACTGCATATTTACACCATCGATATATACCGTCTAGTGAGGTCGACGGAACAGCAAACTCTAATCTATAGGCACGTATCACTTTTTTTTCCCTCACAACAAACTGCCCCTCTTCGCCTTTCTCGTCTTCAACAACTCATCCATCAACCGCATCCCCTTCGGTCCCGAGCGACTGCCATCCTCGGTTCCATCAAACTCACTCTCCGGCACTGCAGCAGGCCACTTCCACAAGTCCTGCAGTGCAGGCTCCAGCTTACCTTCCAGCGCGTCGACGATCTTGTCGCCCAGCACGGGGAGGAACTTGTATCCATGACCACTGCCGCCTGTAGCGAGGAAGAGACCAGGATGGTCGGGGTGGTAGGTTATGATGAAGTCGCCCTTGGGGCTGTGCCAATCACAAATGTTAGTCAGGCATTCAATCGGAGACCGCCGAATATGACAAGGGCACTCACGTATCAGTATACCAGCAGATGCGAGTCTCAGCGAACGGCCGATCCGCAAAGGAGGGAATCAGCTCCTTCAAAGCCTCCCGGAATGCTTTTTCGCCTTCAGCAGGAATAGGAACTCCCTTCTCTGGCAGACTGACTTTCATTCTCTTTCCTTCATCCTGGGCGGTGCCAGGAACCGGGACCTGGACGGGGTTAACGTAACCGTATGCATGTCGGGCGATCTTGAGCATGTTGTTCCGCGGCGGGATGATGAAGATGCCCGTCGCGAAGTTGAGAATCGTAGGCATATGCTCGAACCGCTTCTGTTCTTCGTCCGAAATGCGGATGTATGCGATTGCTTGACCGGTCTGGACGGTTCGACCGCGTAGATCGACGAGCTTGGCGGTCCAGGCTCCTGTTGCGAGAATGACAAGGTCGGCTGTTAGGGATGATCCGTCTGCAAGGTTGACTCCAGTGACTCTGTTGGACTTGTCGTTGCTGTATTGGAGACTGCTCACGTCACCGGTCTTGAAGATCACTTTGCCTTCTTGGTCCAGACGCTGCTTGGTGTACCGGACACCCGCTTCAGCATCGGACCAGCCTGAGCCCCAGTTCACGTAGCCTCCTTCGACGCTGAGATTCACTCCGTAGGCCGGGGCGGCACGTGCGACGTCCTCGCGAGTGGGGAGGAGCTCGACATCTTGACCGGGGATTTGCTTGACGTTTTCGTAGCTCTTGTTGGCGTAGTCGCGGGCATTGGTACTACCGGGAGGATAGACCAGGAGGAGACCGTTCTGGGTATAACGGCCTTCCTTGCCCCAGTCGGTGTTGCGCCAGAGATCGAGAGCCTCAGCGGCGAGTTTGGCGTAGTGTGGTTGGGAGTAGTCGGCACGAACGATGCGAGAGGAGTCGACGGAGGAGCCATGCGGGTTGGGGATTATCGGGGAGGCTTCCAGGAGGGTGATTTGGGAGTTGGGATGGCGGTGCGAGAGGGAGAGAGCCGTAGATACTGGATTGAATGAGCAATCTGGCTCATGCTGAAAACCCGGGGAAATGGGTGCGGTGTGTGTGGTGCGACTTACGGCCGAAGACCCCTCCGCCGATGATAAGAATGTTGGCGGGGAGTGACATGTTGCGGGCGGAGGAGCAACAATCTATGAAGAAAAATGGGAGAAGTGAACGGGATAACTTGAGAGGAGGTGGACTCTCAAGAGATGAGGGGAAATAAGAGGCTATATAGTTGGTGGTATGATTTGGAGATGCAGCGATAACGGCGCATTGGCAAATCAAATTAACAAGCCCGTGCCTGATTGTCTTGGCGGTCGGTGTCCGATCTTTTGAGTTTCTCCAACTTCTCCATCTTTTCCTCCCACCTCCGCATCTTATTCTACATCACTCCAGTCGCCGCAACCATGAGCGCACCACGGGTCGGGCGAGCAGCGCTGAAGAAGGCCAAGTTGCCTGCTTCTGCTTCTGCTTCCAAGCCAGCGCCTCGATTCCCAGTGGCAGACGGCACCGGGTTAGTCTCATCGACTCCGCATTGCCCGTGTCTCTCTTTGTCAGTCACACCTGTTGACGCCTACTGACTTACTGTAATGTGCAGGCCCAAAACCCTACCTAAACGTGCCAACCAACACCTCAAGGATCTCCCTTCCACGCCCCCGTCCACCCCCGTATCGCCCAGAGTCATGACCATCTTCGGCGTCAGCGCCCTCACTCTCAGCACCTACATCGGCTACCTCTACGCCTCCTACCGTCGCGAAGTCACTCAATCGCAATCCCTCTCTGTCCCCCACGATGTTTCCGACCGCTACAACCACACCGCACGCACCTTCGACGCAGACGTCGAATTGTCCGAGAAAGTCATGCGCATGGGCTCCAAGCGCGCAGACCTGATCAGTCGCGCACGCGGCGACGTCCTCGAAGTCAGCTGCGGTACCGGCCGAAACCTCCAATATTATGAACTCGGGCAGCGGAGGGGACTGGATAGCAAGGGACGCGCAGGCGTGCATGGGTGTCGGTCCGTAACATTTGTGGATTTGAGTCCGGAGATGGTGGAGATTACGAAGGCCAAGTTCGCGAAACAGTTCCCGGAGCATGAGGTGCCGGTGAATTTCGAGGTACAGGATGCCGCAGGCGTGCCCAGGCGTCCGGTTGATCCGTCACGGAAGGGTGATGAGGGTTATTATGATACGGTGGTGCAGACCATGGGGCTTTGTTCGATGCCGGATCCCGTGGGCACGTTGCGCCATCTGGGGACGGTTGTTGAGCCGAATAAGGGAGAGATCTTGTTGTTGGAGCACGGGCGGTCCCACTATGATTGGCTCAACCGCATCTTGGATAATTTGGCGTCGGCGCATGCGGATAGGCATGGATGTTGGTGGAATCGGGATATTGGGAAGATTGTGCGGGATAGTGGGTTGGAGGTGGTGGAGGAGAAACGCTGGCATTTTGGGACGACGTGGAAGTATGTCTTGCGGCCGGCGAGGACGGAGAAGTGATGGTGTCGAGGATGTCACTTGTATATTAGCTAGAGTTCATGATAGACTTGGATGACTGGATGTATTTGTAAATATGCATGGCGGGTATTATAATTATCACTATATAATAGACAGTTTGGGTCACAATGTGAAGATGACTTGCGTATCTACTCGCTACTATTCACCTTAGCTGTAGTAGCTGTACCTTGTAGCTCAAAGTAAATAATGAATGTCGGTTCTACGTGAAATATGAGGGAAGTATAATACTATGATCATAGTAGCAGTGATTTGACCAGTGACGTTCTCGAATGGAAACATGAACATACATCTAATCCAACCAAGGTACTACAGTCACTGAAACACCAAACCACTATTCCACTCCCAGTTCTTGTCCATGCACTACTATAATTCCCCAAACTATATTTAACCATCACTAATATTGAACTCTAACTCATTACCCGACAACCAACATGATATCCCACCACCCATGCCCCCCAGTCACGCGACGCGAACACATCACCCCCCAAAGAAAGAACTACATCACCGGGCCAACAATCCCAACCCAGAACCGGTGTCGAAGGAGACCAACAAAACCATGGTTTGACCCGATCACCTGAGACGATAGAAGTAATAGATCGTCGAGGTGAAGTCAAGATGGCGTTGTTGTTACGAAGATGCTCTGGATCTGCGGGGTAGTATAGATGTGTTGGCCTGATTCTGCACGCACTAGATTACATGGAGGCTAGGCTGGGCTGGGCTTATGCTTACGCTACTAAAATTTCTTTCTTTTTTTGTACCTGTGCGATGAATGTAAGTATGTATGTCCCCTCACAGGATACAGTGTATATATTATATACTATGTGAGTATTGTAGGTGTATGTGGGATAGAGTTTATGTGTATATTGTGGTGAAGGAGGGGCGGAGAATATTTTCTGTTTGTTTGTGACGGTGTTGTGCAGGTATTGATGGATATATTGAAGTTTGGGGGTGGTTAGGTACATGCTTTTAGATGTAGGGAGGGAGGGGAACATGCGGTCTATTATTGGGGTGAGGATTATTTACTTCGCGTTGAAAGGCACGGAGAGTGAGTACTAGCCACTGACTGGTCAGTGTTCCGAGGGCCCTGATCTAGACTACTATGTATAGCAATTCAAAATTCAGGAGTGATATACTCCGGCTGACGCTTGCTTCTCATGCCATTTATTCTTCACATAAACGGTATGTCAAATAGATCGATACATCAGTGTCTGTGAATACGAGAGCTGAATAGTGGGACAGACCCATCACCAAGTACCGTGCATGAAATCCAGACGATCTGTGCACCGACAAAAGCTGAAGAGGTGGGATGCCGATGCCGATGACGATACACAACTTCAATTCCAACCTGTCTGTCCTGTATCCAGCTGCAGATGCTGCCCGCCACGGAAGAGTGGAGATAAAGTACATACATACATTGCAGCATGTGAGTTGTACGACTTCCCTTCCCTCTACCCACCCCCCGTCTGCCTCCCATCCTCTCCCGTCCATCTGCATTGCATTCCCTGGACTGCAGGAACTATGGCAATTGCATACGTACAATGATGAATGCATGGTGGAGTGAGGTGGAGTTGGGAAAGGGTGGCTGTGACTGATTGACCCATTGTCTTGTCTGCATTGTTTCTCTGTAAAGAACATACCTGGAACAATTGATAACACTTTTATCCCTAGGCAACGAGATGGAGATAACGAGTTACATATCTAGCAGGCAACAAGACAGGTAAACTAACTATGGAGTATGAAGATGAAACTGGAATGATTCATATCGTTGGTGATGGTGACTCAGATGATTGGTGAACCGTCATCTATCGCATAAGGTTGGTGATCCCTTGCTGAGATGTGATACATCGCCCACGATATCCCGATCTACAGTGAGAGAGGCAGATAATAATTACTGTGTCTGTGTGTGTACACACACATACACACACATCGCATAGCTGAAGCCATATACTCCGTACCCTCTCTGCACTGATCACCACTATCTACAAGAGACTGGCCAGCTCCCATGCTACTGCATAATGTGCATGACAGCCTCGTCGCGGTATCCCAAAACCCACCCTCCCAGCCAAGGCCTGGAGTGGCGAGGCCCGGGTTCCATGCAGAAAGGCGCGCGCTGTGCCCTTTGTCCAGCTCTGGTCTTAGCGCGACCTCTCATCCATCCGATTGGGTCCTATTCCAATCTTCTAGACGACCCGGCATCTACTCCACTGTCGCCGATCTGATTCGCTATAGGCTCCAAACGGCGACGCTAGGAACGATTATCCTTGGGACCGCGGTTGTAGGTGGAGCTACGTGTACACCCTGATTCGTTGCGTTTTTGCCTGCCTCCATTTCTCCTACGAAGTTAGTGCATAAGTCAGTAACTTGGAAGGCTAGCGCCTGCAGCAGCGCTATGCGCTAGTGTAAGGCTCTTATGTGTAGTAGTGCTTTTCCTTCCTTTCATTTTTTTTTTTTTACCCATTTTTTCTTTTTCGGTGGTGTGTGTGTCCCTTTTTTTTCTGTCCCAAGGTTTGGTCTTGCTTTTCGAGTCCTAGCACTAGGCGCCCATGGCCAACACACTTCACACCCACTTGTCATGGACCAAAGCATTCCTTCAAGCTAGGCAGATGAAGTACCATGGAAGGTGTTAAAGCTATGATGCATCTACCCGTAGGTGGTTGCCGCCGTTTTGCCGTCACGGTGGGAGGGGACACAGTATATCCCATTGTACTTTAAGTTGTTGCCCCGTAGTTTAGACAAAACGACCGAGCAGGAGACTTGTAACTTGTTCGAGGCTAGAGAAAAGAAGAAACATCAAATCCGATGGTCCCAAAAAATGGTCCGATTTTCGCGGAATCTGTCGGTGAGAAAAAGAAAACAAATAAACAACTACTCCGATTTTAGTCTGGAAGTCAGAAACTGGGCTGTAAGTAGTAAGTCAGTCAGTAGGTCGGTCGCCTTGATCGCGGGATAAGGATGGCTTGTTTGTTTCTGTCTATCTATCAGAAAAATTTCTGCGCAGCAACCAGGTCCCAAGGCGCTCTAGTGAGCTGCAGGTTAGCCAGCAGTAGCTACCCGATTCGCCCTCCCTGGATTGACTCCACGGAGCATACTCCATTATGGAGTCCATGCAGAACCTCAGTTGATCACGGTCTCCTCCGCCAATCACCATCGCGGGCTTTCATTCTGGTCGTCATAGACACATGGTTGGTTCCACCGTACTTTTTGCCCCTTCAGTCCATCGGCCGTGTTTAGTTTCGCTTCTCGCCCATCTTTCGCCCTCCGCCGGTGTCCTTCCCAGTGTGTCCAGTTGACGCTCTTTTTTTTTTTTGCTGGAGGTTGCTTTGGTCGCGACACACGGACGTTTCTTTCATTTTGAGGATGGGAATTGGGATAAAGCGGTGTAGATGTGTACATCCTCTAGTCTCTTCTTAGTAGATTGTATTCAATCTTCCGCCTGTGGGGGGTTGCTAAAGGGTAAGAGATAGGTCCAAAAGCAGCGACATCAATCCCCTAGAATGGAATAACAAAAACAAGACACATCTTCAATTTTGAATTTTGAATTTTTTTAATTTTTTTTAATTTTTCGTTTCGTTTTTTCCCTTTCATGGAGGGAATCGGAGGGGGGGGGCACACCAGTTCCAGTTCCCTTCCCGGCATTCCTGGAAATCCCCAATAAAATCAACCCCCCCATCGTGCGTCGGACCAATAATCGCCACCCTAAAACATCCACCCGTTTTTGCCCATTTTAATTTTCAACCGGGGCGCAAAAGAGAGAGAAGAGGAAGAAAAAAGAAATTTTTTTCTTTTCGAAAGGTGGAAACCATCTCATTCAAACTTATCCCAACTTGAACATATCCACCTCACGGAACGGATTCCTCAGGCTTCGTGCCTTCCTATTGTTATTTCTATTACTATTTCGATTACCATCGTTGCTGCTTCCTTGTTCCGACGGTAAGTACGGCCGGACTCTCACTGGCCAACGATCGTTCCGGTGATTATTCCATTCCCATTCCCTGGCCTTTCCATTGCTCTCTTTGCTCTCTGTCCTGTCTCCATCTTCCCGTGCAGCCGGTCGGCATCTCATCATCATCACCGCCGCCGCCGCCCATCCTTCCCTAACTCTCCCATTCCCTTCCCATCCATTCATCCATCCGTCCATCCTCCCTCCCTCCCTCATCCTTCCCCCCCTGTGCACCATACTTCCTGTAACATTTACCCTACTTCCCCTTTCCCCCCAAATCTTTCCCACTATCTCTCTTCTATCCTATTGTCCTTGTCTCTCTATCTGTCTCTGTTTATCTGTGTCTCTCTGTGTGTTATTAGACTATTATCTTGCTATTGCTACTCTTAGTGCTACTTTTATTTCCCTGTTTCTATACTGTATTGTTCCTTCCTCGTGTTTTTGTGTGGTTATCGGTATACTACTTTACTACTACTACTTCCATTATCGCCTATCGTTCTCCTATTTCCATTGTACCCCTACTACACTTTTTGACCACCTTCCTTCCCTTCTTTTTTTCCGACTACGCAGCTATGCCTTATAATACACGTCGCAAGTCGCTGTCGCTCCCCTCCTTGGGAATTCATCTCCCTAATACATCTCGCCGCTCCCCCTCCGCCACAAAATCGCCTCACGCGACCGATGACCAGCTCCCTCCCTCCAAGAAAGTGAAGCGGTCGCACGACTCGGCATACTCGCTATCTCCCGAGCCTTCCTCGTCTTCCTCTGCGCGCACTCCCGATGGCAAGGAATCCGCCGCTCCTCTACGTCAGAGTGGGCGGCGCGGGCCTTTGGAACATACGCCACCGCCATCCCCCACCGATGGTACTGTCGCGACTAAGATCGACACCGAGGGGATCAATGATGACATTGTGGTTGGTGTGATTGAGCAGTTGGAAAAGACTGGAAACCGTCCTCATTTGGTTAAGGAGTTGGCTGCCGTCCTTATCGCGTTGAACGAGAATGTCGCAAAGTACGTTCCCCTCTTCTGATCTTCCCCCTCTCTATATGTCGCTGGCCATACTAATGGGACATTTTGTCTTTACAGCTCTGCGAACCCTGCAGCTCTTTTGTCTTCTCGGTTAAGTGCCTACATGAAGCGCCCGTGGACCGCCCTGGCGCCCTGTCCTATAGCAAAGGAACTAGTCCCAATCCACCCGCGCAAAGTGTACTACTACTTGACGACATTGCCCCGTCAGCCTCTCCCAGAGAACTCGGACGATGTTATCATTCCTGGGGTAGAGGGCAAGGATATCACTCCCAGCGTCTCCAGCGCCGATCTAGATGAGGAAGACGCGATGGCGCGGGAGCGGTCGCGCCTCAGCCCCAGTCCAGAGGTGGATCTGTCTTCTCCTGACTTCGAGGAAGAGTCTATCGACTTGGACGGTCGCAATGGCCCCGTCGGTGCGTCAAGATCTGGCACCGACTTCAACGACCATCACCACGCGCGTTTGATGCACTCCAACCGTGCTGCCTCCCCGCCATTGGAGGGAGACGAGAAGGAATTCACACAAACTGCTAGCGCCGTGCGCGAGCGGGCCTCGGAGCAAAAAGGAGGCCAGCTTCAGATTCCGGGAGGTGGCTTTTCTGCCCTCTCGGAAGGCCTGAGCGAGTTGCATGATGGAGCGATGAGCATTTCTGATTCCGTCGAGGACAGCCCTCTCTCCTCCATTAGCGGTGATCGCATGTCGGACGACCAGGATGGCGACTACTTCTCGCACAACGCATACCAGCAGCAGTCCCCTCTGCAAGATCATCTCCAGCAGCAGCAGGATTTCGATGACGCTGCTGTGGCTACTCTCTTCGGCACATCTCCCTCCCCCTCCCTCACATCTGTTGCCTCATCCATCTCGTCTGGCACGAGCGTGGCTTCCGATGACGGGCTGGATGGCGAGACGCAACCTGAGACCGTCGGACGCACCCCTCAGATCAGTCTCCCGGAGGATCTGACCGTCCCCCCGGTATCGGCGCTCAAACGTTCCATCGACATGCTGAACAGTGGGCTTCCTGACCTGGACATGAAGATGTCCGATCTCAATGAGCAGGACGATAAACTGCCTCTGGGAGCCAGTGCCTTTGCCAGCCAGGATGTCGAGATGGTCTTTGATTCGTGGCGAGAGCTGCAGAGTCCCGAGACCGTGGAAGTTGATGAGCTGGACGAGATGTTCGGGGAAATCTGAACGTCGTCGCCGCGGCACTTCTCATCCACCAACCGATAGACTAGAGGCGTTTGGATCGTGTGTTCCCTTTCGGGGTGTCTACAACCAAACAGACTCCTTTCATCTCCACTCCCGCTGTGGCCGGTCTGTTGAGCCGGCTACTCACCTACACCACCTTGATACTCCGTTTGACCTAATCTTGTACAGTTCCTATTTGTTTAATGCCCGTTTCGCATCTTGTTTTGACCGCCATTTTCGGCGAGGCTCTCGCGCCTGCCGCGCCTGTACATATATACTCTTTACCTCTTTTCTTCCCTCATTCTCTGACCGTCTTGATTTTTTATTATATCCCCTGGCTGGCTGTGATGTATCTGATTGATCGTTTCCTGGGGGTTTGAATTTGCAAGTTCTTCTCAAATGATGGGCATGGAGAGACGGAGCCCGAAGCAGTTGATGATGAAAACGGCCGAAGGAAGAAGAGGACCAGGGAGAAAGAAAACTGGGATATGCTTGATGTCTGACTATGTATGCTTAGCGCCTGTGGCCTTTGAATCCAAAAATTCCCCGCAAGGGTTAGATCTGACGAGAACCGATGTGATTGTTCATTCTCTGTGCTTTGTAGATGGGAGTAGCTCCTTGATCCTCGTATGCCTCTCGGTATAGTAAGCAGTAGTTAGGTGAACGTCCGCTGTGTCTGATGGACGCACGGCCTCCCGCGCCCTGGGAAATGTGGATGACCGGATCCTTCCTAGAATGTGGGGGTCCTGGTGTGACTGCAGGAACGAGGCATGCCAATGTAGCGGATCTGGTAGAAAGCGAAAACGCCCGACCTATGAGAAGAGATGTAGCACCATGGCCGAATTCTCCTGTGTGTGTTATAGAAGGAGTCGAGATGCTGGGATGGTGGATACCTCAGGCACTCTCAGGGACTGGGCTGCGATGACGTCACAGAGCACTACTGAGTCAGCTGGGCGGTGGGTGGATTTGGAAGGTTCTGGTTGGTTGGCGGGCAGTGTGAAGGGGACAAAGTACTTTGTTGGAATGATCAAGTGGGAGTCGGTCTGGAGTGGTCGGTCGTATCTAGTATCTGCTAGTTGAAAGTCATAGTAGTCTTTATCCCGCCGCACGCCCCTCTTCATCCCGAATTCATCTGGCACTTCTGACTCCAGACTTTCCCCCCCATTTTCGTGCTTCACTGCATTCCTATCCTCCTCAGGGCCCATTGAATACCCCATTTCCTTTATCGATCCACACGCGACCTTATTTCTGCGTCTGGTCTTCTGTCCTTTGATCCCGGTTCAGAAGCCCGGTTCGCACTCCGTTCCCCGCGACATCATGCTTCAAACTTTGACTGGATCTTTTTCATACGTCCGCCTGAAGTATTGACCGGCGTGATTCATCGCCTTCCAAATCGCAAAATACATCCAACCAATTCTTATCCAAAAATTCTTATCCGGGATCCAGCAAATACCACGTGACCGGCTCTCAAATCTCTCTGCGATTCGACTGGTGTGCTGTGGCGTTGCCCCTCCAGGAACCATCTATCGTTGGAGAAAAAGACCATGGAGACGCCTGGGTTTTCCCAGCCTGGCGAAGGCCTGTCGCAGGGCGATATTCCCCTTCGTCCTCACACAGAGGGTCCGTCCATCGTCGTTCCTACCGCGCATCCGCCGGCTCTCCCGGGCACTTCGTCGCATAACCCTCAGAAACCCAGATTGGCCACCCGTCCCGCGTATGCCGAGAAGAAACAGCTTCTGTCCTCTGGGAGCAGCAAAGTCGCCATTCCGCGACAGCGATCGACTGCAGCCCCACGCTATACTAGACGAGTCCCGCTGGCCTGTGAGTCGTGTAGGCAACGGAAGACAAAATGTAGCGGTGACACGCCGGTGTGTCGGCAGTGCAAGGAATTGAGGATAAGCTGTCGGTATCCGGTTTCCTGGCGGGAGCGGACGAAAGGGTATGTTGGTCGTTGTTCTGTTGCCTCGGTACTGAGGGAAGGAAATCGATACTGACGTCCTTAGGAAATTGGATAAACTTGCTGTGAGGGTCACGGACTATGAGAATCTACTGCGAGATCTTGGCCCTCTTGTCGATGGTCGGGCTGCCGAGCGTATTAGGACGGTGTTGGAAAAGGTTAGAGATACCCCGATCTTGACGCTCGACGAAACGAATGTCAATGCTAGTCCGGCGGAGTCACTAACCCCCGCCAGCACTCCGATAGCGGTAGCGGCGAAAACACTCAGTCCAGCTCGGTAACACCCCAGGACGAGGACAATGATGATGAGGTGACTTCGCCTTCGTCCATCGGGTCTCTGGATGCGATTGATCGGGTCGAGGAAGATGTGAACCGCACTCCGAGTTCCAGAGCGACTGGTTATATGGGAAAGAATTCCGAAGTCACTTGGATGCAGCGGGTACGCATGGAGGCCGAGCATCGTGCTCGCAAGCTGCCGGGCCCCTATGAGGCAGAGGATGAGGGCGAATTTGCCATTCACTCCGTCAACTATCATCTAGACGACATGGATATCTCCGTACCAGGTCCTGTTCATGTGTACTGGATGCCACCGCGCAAGGTGGCAGATAAGCTCTTCGAAGACTACCTTGATACGGTGCACCCATTCTATCCCATCATCAGCCGGACCCTCTTCCGGGCGCAATACAAGACATTCTTCGAGAGTGCCGCACGACCAGGGGACAAGTGGTTGGCGATTCTGAACTTGATTTTCGCCATTTCCGCCAAGCATGCCCATCTCACGCGGGCCCCGTGGCGCGGTGATGAGAATGACCATTTGGTGTATCTCACACGGGCTCGGATTTTGAGTATGAACGGCGATGTGCTCTTTAGTCACCCTGATCTCCAGCAGGTGCAGGTCGAAGGCCTGATCGCCTACTACCTACTTGCGTCAGATCAGATCAACCGGTAAGCATTTCTAGACAATTATGTAGCCATATGTGTTTGCGCTAACCTGATGCTCGATAGAGCTTGGCGAATCGCTGCCTTGGCCGTTCGTTCCGCAGTCACTCTCGGATTGAACATGAAGAACACCAGCGAGGGCACAGCCAACATCTCCAAGGAGGCACGTTATAGGGTGTGGTGGTGTTTATACACATTTGAGCACATGCTGGGCATCATGACTGGCCGAGCTACGACCATTACCGACGGTATCTGTACTACACCGTTCCCTCTCCCTTTTGAGGAAGATCAATTGGTGGAAGCTGTAGCGACCAAGCTCTTGAATGAACCCGAATTACGTCAAGAGCACATCGATTCAGCACTTGCCTGCATTTCTGTGCGGCAAATGCCATCTAATCCAAAAGGGGGCCGGAACGCTCAGACGACAGATAAACCGCGTGATCCGGCATGGCTGAGAAGTCTTCCGCCCTCAAGTGCTCTTGGATTCCTTTACTACGTCGACCTTGCAGTTATTTCGCAGGAAATAGTCAACCGTGTGTACTCGCTGGATTGTATTTCCATTCCATGGGGCCACATTGAGAACCGCATTGGTGAGCTGCGAGCCCGCACTGACGTGTGGTACGCCAATCTTCATGAGTCTTATGACTTCACTCGACGGGAAGAAGACCAGCCAGCAGCTACCCTGCGGGGCAAGCTCTTCCTCGCCTTCCACTACTACAGCGCGCGCATTACGCTAGGACGACCGTGTTTATGTCGTCGTGACGCCCGACAGACGGCGTCCAACAAGAAGGAGACATTCAGCCATGAGATGGCGGTGATCACTCTAGAATCTGCCCGACGGATGCTCGACTTGATTCCTGATGTGCCTGACGCTGTTCGTCTCTATGATGTCTGCCCGTGGTGGTGCATTCTGCACTATCTTATGCAGACAACGACCGTGCTGCTGCTGGAGTTGTCGTTTGGCAGCATTCATATGCCGGATGAGGAGGCCAACTTCCTACAAGCTGCCAAAAAAGCCATTCGCTGGCTCTTCGCCATGTCCGAGAACAGTCTTGCATCCCGACGCGCATGGGAGTTATGCTATGGCAGCCTCCGGCAGATTGCTGCCGGTATGAGCTACGACATTAGTGACTTGCCCGCGTATGGCTTTGAGACTCAGCCCCAGGCCCAAGCTCAGGGCCAGGCGCTCAACGGTACACAACATGATTACTTGAGCCATCTGGAAGAGACCATGCATGCGGGACCGACTTTCTACAACCCCGCGGCGGCAGATATGAGCAATTCAGCGTCAGCTTCTTCCAGTATGGCTCAGCAACCCAGCATGCTGTTCGCTCAGACCGAACAACCCCTCCAGGGCTTGGCAATGTCAGCTCCTAACCCGTTTCCCACGAATCCGGAGTTGAGCTCTGGTTCTGGGGATTCGTACTTTCCGTACGATCCGATCAGTGGGGTATTCATCCGCTCATTCTTCCCTTCGTCTACTGACGAGGAACCATGGGGTGGAGCGTGAGTGTCCTTGGTTGCTTGCTCGGAGAGCGCAACCTTGCCATTCGTTGTGGTTATTTTGCGCCTCATGATTGTTGTCATTCCCATTCTGTGCGGGCCAGCGATGCTCTATACCTCTTGTCTATTGGGATTGACTCTCAAGTCTTTTTTTATTCTCTTCTTTTCTTTATTTTACCATTCTATTGAAAGTATGTTTATATTGCATGTATTTCTATCTACGTCTACGATATCACGCAGGGCTACTGGTGTTTTATAGGGTGTGATGGATAGAATGGGATGATACAGGCTGGAATTGGCTGCTACTGCAACGATACACGAGATGGGATAGAGGTGACCGGAGCTTTAGGGTCTATTTTGTTTTGTTTTTGTATAGGATGGTAGTTAATTGTGCACTGAAATACAATGGACCTCATCTTTGCTATCCTATAAATTCCACACCCACTCAGTCGATCTAGACCATGATATGAATATGCAATGCTCTGATTGGCGGGCCGCAGCACGCTGACTCAGCAAGATGAATTTCCCCGGCGAAGCTTTTCTTTTCGGCGGCGAAGAAACACATCCAAAGCTTTCGCTTCCCTCCAACAGCTGCCTCCCCCAGTCGCTGGTTATCGCCAGGCACACGCCTTGTCCGCTCAAATTGAGGAATGCCGACCCGTCTCAACGATTAGACATGCGCCACAGAACGTCCGTCCGACGGTCACATCGAGATTTGGATTTCCTCCGCCCGCAGGTCTCCTCCGCTACCTCCGTCGTGTCATGAAAAGGTGCCTGAGTCCAGCTCGTCTGCCGTGCCTGGACCGCGGGTCTTCCTTCGTCCTCCACCCTTCGATCCTCCGTCGTCTCGCCCCCCGTCACGTCGCGCTCACCAGCCGGGGACCTCTCCCCGATAGGCGACGACAATGGAGTCGCCAGTTCTCCGTCGGGGCCGGTCCTCCGATCAATCGCCAATCGCTGCAAGACTATGTTAGGCTGGAAATGAAGAGATGTCCTGTTGCAGGACCAGATCAGAGTAACCCGGAGGCTTGGATTGCGCGGCTGGACCAGTACCTGCCGCCTTCGTTGCGGAGAGACACCAACGGTCATACAAACAATGACGATGTTCTGGATGACGCAGCAATTCGGACCGATGCGGCTTATTTTGCGCAGACGATTGAATTGGCTAACTTGCTGCTGCATGCGCGGGATTCCGGGAAGATTGATTTGCTTGCGTATGTTGGTTTCCGGTTGAATAATTGGCCCGCTGTGCAGTTCTTGATTAATCGCCTGCTTGATGCGGCGGACTCTCTTAAGGAGGTCACGCTTCCTTCCCGGCCTTTGTCTAGCTATGACTGGGGTCTGGGGCAGGGGCTCTCGCTGGATGAGCTTACGGATAGGTCTGAGCCGCAGGCTCCGAAAATCCCGCAGGCTTCGAACGGGCTGACGGCGTCGGATATGACGAGCTTGGATGCTTTTACAGAGCGACCGTATGCTGATGACCATTCGAAACGATTTATGGCTGAGGTGTGGCAGAGTTTGGGGTCTATTGTGCTGGATGCTGCTGATGCCTCGCCTAACGAGGCGAAGCTGGCTATGTCTCATGTGTTCCAGGTTCTAGCTCGACTGCACCACTCCGATGCCATCTCCGATAGGGTCTACAAGTATGTCCCGCCGGACAGCTACCAAGCTACATTCCGACCTCCGGGAATGCATCTGCTTTCTTCTCATATTATGAGTGTCCTGTCCGACGCCGCGTGGCTGGTTCATGAAGCGGAGGTTGCTGCTAAAGCGGCTGCTGCTGGCGAGGATTCGCCTTATCTTCCATTCAAAATGGGAGTTCGTGAGCTTGGGCCCGAGGTTTGGCTGGAGTTTATCCTCTGGTGCTGTGTGGAACATGGCCACATCGAGGAGGGAGTATGGCTCATTGATCGAATGACAAGCAAGACAGGAGACCAGGCCTGGAAATTCCAGAGCTGGAAGCCCCTACTCGATGACTCCGGGTCGGTCTGGCAGACCAAAGTCGATCAGGAAGAGACTTGGCGACAACCCGGCCACCAGGAACGCTCTACGATGCTGCGAAAGCGGCATAGCCCGACGCCCTTCCACGGACTGGGAAAGCGAACCATGAGCACTGAAGTGGCCGCGGCCTTGCTGGATAGCCTTCCCAACCAGGTATATCTAGGTCTCGGTTTCAGAGGTATGTCGCCGAGCGCCCTCTTACGCTATGCATCCAGTCTCAAGTTCGCAATTGCCCCGTCAACGGACGACGGGAAATTATTGCCTACGCGCAGAACGTCGAACTGGTTCGCTGTGCGAGTTATGGAATCGGGAGGCCTCAAGCCGGAAGCCGACCCCCGGACATTCGAAGACTTCCTCAGGATCACGCCGTGCGTCGTTCCGCCCTGGGACACCGACCTTTACCACGTCAATGAAGATGCTTTGACCCGAATGAGTCGGTCACAGCTGTACGACGACACTGCCGCCTTGGTCGGCCTGATCGAGTACAACATCCGGTTTTACTCGTCGGAGCGCTTCTGCGGTGACGCTCTGAACGCATTCTCCTGGCTGCAAGCCATCGTTGACAGCAGCAAGATGCAGCGCATCGACGAGTTCTTCTCTTCGCGCGTCGACCGACCTGGCGTCGTTCTCCCTACCCTTGAACTTGATGATCTGGACTCCACGGAACCCTTCGAATCATCCATGCCGCAATTATCCAGCGTCACCTTGGCCGAGCTCATTGATCTAGTCACCGTATCGCGCGCATTCACATTCGGCAACTGGCTCTTCTACTCCGACGATATCGACGGCCCCCCAGTCTCGCCCCGCGCCTACGGCGACCAAGCCCTAGCACCATCCATCATCCGCTACGCCACAGCCACCAGGAACGCCGCCCTCTGCGACGCCGTCGTCCAGTCCCTCTCCCAACCCCTCTCCTCCAACACCCTCCGCGCACTCCTCAACTCCCGCATCGCCCTGCACCAATGGGACGCGGTCACCAAACTCTTCGAATACCTCCGCGACTACCGCGCCAAATCCTGGGGCCAGAGCAACGCCACCGCCCTCGCCGCGGAGATCATCCGTCTCGAGCACACCATCTACCGGCAACAACCACCCCCAGACCCCTCAACCCTACAAGAAACCACCACCTCCCTCACCCGCGCCAAGGAGCTCCTCTCCCGCCTCCTCAAGGGCACCTACAACGAACCCAACCACATCGCCACCTCCCGCTTCCAAGAACGCGCCATCTCCGGCCTCTACAACATCTTCCTCTCTATCCCAGGCACCCTCCACGACCTCGCTGCCTCCATCACCAACTCCTCTAACAGCAACAAATTCTCCACCCCCCGCAACGCCATCCCCTATATCCCGGCAACAGCCTTCCACACCCTCCTCTCCGCCATCGTCGACACCCGCGGCAGCGCCGCCGGCCAACGCTTCTACGACAAATGGTGTCTCGACACGAAGTCCCCGACCTCACGCCGTCTCCAAGAAGGTGGCATCGTCCGATTCTATCTCGGCAAGGAGCGGAACCTCGCGAAGGGCGATCCGCACTTCGATGCCAGATACTTCAAGCGCGCGAGGGAGAAGGCCACGATGCCGAATCCCACGACTGTGAGGATTATTGCCCAGGCTGCTGTAGCGGAGTTTCATGAACATGAAGCTGAGGGTAAGGGAGCTGTGAACCCGGCTGAAGATGTGTTGAGTTTCTGTATCAAGAGGTTTGAGGCCTTTGGGATGCGGAGACGCGAGATTAATCGCGAGGTTGGAGGGATACTGTATAGGAGACGAAGGGAGGGGGACAAGTTGAGGAGGGAGATGAAGAAGGAGAAGGTGAGGGGGTAGATTTGGGGGTGTGTGAATTGGTAGTCATGGATGTTGTGTGTGTCTGACTGAGCATTTGGGGGGTTATTTTTTTCTCAAAATACCATCTCCTGTTTTGGGGTTATATGTGTGTATTATTTTGGTTTGGGAAGATACTTGGACTGTTTATAGATGAGCGATACTAATAGATTACTGTATTATATTTACTGCATCTGCATTCATGTGCATTTCCTACTAGACTACTATATCATATCATATGATAGTAATATGTACAACAGTTTGATAGAGTTACTTCGGTCATTGCACTACAGATGGAAGCGATTTTTTATAACGGCTGTGAAAGGTATGGCATGTATGTACACCCACATCTAGCAATTATCAACACTATTGGCGCATTTGAACATCAAAGGTATCATAAACAAGATAAAATCCCACGACCGAACAAGCCAAAATACCCATAACTCACAAGTCCAACCACCAAGCTCCCAATAGCGCCCCAGTAGTAGACAACGATACCAGCAGAATGAACAAATGTTTATGACACTGCGACTCCAGTGCATATAGACATGCGTCCTTTCTCTGGCCGGTGAGATTCCGGCAAGATAGTATGAAACACGCCTAATTTCTCGGATTTTTCGAACCAAACTCCTTCCCGCAATCATCAATCATAATACTCGAACCGTCATCGTGGCGCAGAATTCACGGAAATATCAATCAAAGCTCCTCCTCTTCCTCTTCAACTCCCATTTCAATGTCCTCATCTGCAAACTGCATGTCACCACCCAATTCCTGCTCGACCTCGTCGACAACAAAGCTCTCGTAGTCTTCCAGACCTTTTTGAATATGGACCTTGAAGCGGATGACATCGTTCAGCATGCTCTCCACATTTGTGTGTAGCTCCTCACGCAACGCATTTGCGCGGAGGGTCAATTGCTCATACTCAATGTTAGTATTCATCTCGCGCTGCTCCATCAGTTGGACGCTTTCGCCCAACGTGGCTCGCATCTTGGCCAGCTCCTTCTCCATCTTTTCAATCTGTGCATCCGAAGCGAGCTTCTGCGTTGTGGTGACCTCCTTGAGCCGCTCGAATTCCTCTTCAGCGGCACGTGCCTTATGCTCCAAAGCCTCAACCTCGCTTCGCTTCTCGTCCATTGCTTCCTTGATGTTGTCCAGGAGATTGCGTCGTTCCAAGTCATCATCAATGGCACGCTTCCGGCGCTCGTTGATCTCCTTCCGGAGAGCCTGTAGATTGCTGCGCACGATGCCGCGGAGATCGAGGTTGAGCAAGTGTGCTGGGTGATAGCCAGTGAACGGGTCCGCCAATAGTCGATCTCCATCGGTAGAGATTCGGTTCGCTAGACCACCGACCTGAGAGGCGGAGAAATTGCTCTCGTTGACGTTGAGACTAAGTTCGTAATCGTCGCCCTTGGCATTGACAGCTGACGAAGGAATCAAGCTATTCTGGTATCCGAGCGTGTTGTAGACCTTGACGATCTCCTCCAAATCTTCGAGTTTCCTACTAGCCTCGGCCTCCTTTGCCATGACCCGCGCGTGCGTTTCTTCTAACCTATTGACCGTATCGTCAAGATTTCTCTGCAGGCGTTCACGTTCCGTGTTCATACGGTCAATATCCTGGATTGTCAAGCCTTGTTGGTCAACACTGGCCTGAAGCCCAGCCCGCTCCTCTTCGGCGGCTTGCAGGTCATCCTCCGTCTTCTTAAGCTCGTCATCCAGGAATTTGATGCGGGTCTCATATTTCTCGATCTTGCCCTGGACATTCTGGTTGTAGTCCTCAAACTTCCTCTTGTCGTCCTCCAAAATCCTGAAGTGCTTGTCCAGCTTGGCCATGTCCGGAGCGTTCTTCTCCATCTCTTCTATCTGGTCACGTAGCGCTCGGTTTTCGGCTTCCAAAGACTCCATCTCTTGAACATATTTCTCATTTCCTCTTTCAAACTCTTGGGCCATCATTTCGACGTGAGGTACTAGTCTCTTCTCTGCTGTTGCGTCATCCTCATCTTCCCCGCCTTGCAGCCAGTCATGGTAGGCACTTGTAAGGAAACGGAAGATAATCCGGTCGCCGGATACATCGACTCCCATCTCTGCGCAAGCTTCATCGTATTCCCCGAGCAAATATCGATCCATCATCTGGGCCAGTTGCATCAACCAATGCAGCATACCGAGGAATGTCGGCCAGTTCTGGCCTCCCACAGCCGCAATCTGCGACTTCGTGATACCCTTTTCGTAGGGATAACGTAGTTGCTTGAGAATAGGTGGTACCTCCGCATCCATGCTCTTCTGAAACTTGTACCCAGGATCAATGCGATGATACAGCCACTGGAAGATGTAGTTGAAATCTTTTTGAGTGGGAGACCGTAAGGTGTTCTGCCCCAGTGAATGCTTCATCTCAAGCTCAAAGTTGTTATGCGTCAAATATTCCAAGAGTTCTTGTCCAATGCGAGCTTGGAAAGACCTGTCCCTGAGTGGCCGTGGGTCCCTGGGGACACCAGCAACTGACGGGACTTGAGTGAAGAACGAGTGATGACCCATGGCGCCACCCACAGATGGTCGTGAAAAGACACTACTCCTCCGTTGCAATCCTTGCGACCCTGCTGTGCTTTGCGACGACATCGGGCCGGGAGCAAAGCTTGGGCGCCCGACACTAGGACCGTGGAACATATTACTGGAGACGGAGCGTCTGACTGATGAGAGACCGGCATCGGCACCAAAGCCTCCACCAGAAGAAGAACGCTGAAAGTTGGGCTGTTGGGGGCGACTGGCGGAGTTGAGAAGCGACATACGCGTGTGCTGAGAGGTGAAAGGAGGATTCTGGTACCCAATGGAGCTGGTGCGCTTCAAAGCCGAGGAGGGTTGCGGAAGAGCGGAGTAATTTTGGCTACCCATCGCCATAGACTGAGACAGCTAGATTAGTATTATAGAAGAGGGGCAGGCCAGAAGGAAGCAAGGCACATACCTCGCGGGTGCGCCTGATGCTGAACAATCCTGTATCCTGCGACATGATGACGGAAAAAGCCGCGACTGCGGCGGTCAATCTCAACCCTAGCGAGCGCAAACTCTTGAAAAACGGTTAAATTGCAACGGGCATGCGATCTGTACCAAAATCGATATATCCAGAAGAGGCGCGACACCAAGTTGGCGATGGAGGCGCAATAGGAGGTGGGAGAGTTGTGGATGGCAGTAGCAACCGAGCGGGCCAGCAATAATCATAATAATCAAAGTAAACAAGACATGCCACTTTCTCTTGTCCCAACACAGTAGGCGGTGATATCGAGGGAACGACTTGCCGGATTGGGGCACGCGCTATCACGAGACTCTGGGGAAGTCACGGGAATCTCCGCCGCGGTACGAAACCAGAACCACGTAAATTACCAGCGCTACTTCCGAGGTCCATCTGATTTGGGAAGTGCCGCTCCATCGCCTCCTCATCTTGTGTCTCTCTCTCCCCTTCTCCTCATTGTCCCTTTTCCTTAGATTCCTCCCCCAACGCTCCTCCTCGCTAAGAATAACCCTGATTCCACCCAGTTAGAGCTATCGCTCCTGGGAAAGTTGCCCATCATGGTTCGCGAGGAGCTTATCTCCTCTGCTGTAAGTGTTGCCTTTATCTGTGACTGATATTCTGTTACCGGAATCGGAGCTGATCCTCACGCTCGATCGTTTAGGTCACCTGTATGTGCTCAACACATCCATTACCGTGTTGATTCTGTACTCGTCTAATACTTCTGCAGTCCTCCAAGATCCGTCTGTCGCCGCCTCGCCAATTGAGAAGCGAGTCGCATTCCTCCAGTCAAAGAACCTGACTAAAGAAGAGATCGATGTTGCGCTTGCCCGAGCAGGTGAAGATCCGTCCACAGCAGCTGCCGCTGTAACCGCATCATCTGGTTACCAATCAGCCCCTCAACAAGCTGTCTACCGACCTCCTCCTCCACCTGCTGCAGGCTATGGATATCCTCCCTATGGTCAATGGCAGGCTCCGCCAGAGTGAGTCTCGATTCTTGCCCATTTTATACTGTATTCGACTAATTTTGCTTCGCAAGGCCTCCGAAGCGGGACTGGCGTGACTGGTTCATTATGGCTACGGTGATGGGAGGAGTAGGTTACGGACTCTACACGATCACCAAGGTCGGTGTCTCAATACGCACTCTGCTCAATCAAGTGAAAACATGCTGACATGCTTTAAGCGCTACATTTCGCCCTTAATCGCACCTCCCACTCCACCCCAGCTAGAACAAGACAAAGAACACATTGATGAGCAATTCAATCGCGCATTTGCCCTGATCGAACAGCTGTCCACAGATACAGCCGCACTGAAGTCGGCGGAGGAGACGCGCACAGAACGGCTAGATACCGCCCTTCGCGAGGTAGAGAACCTCGTTTCTGACATGAAGAACGCCTCGCGACGGAGGGACGACGAGACCCGTCGTATCAGCGACGAAGTCAAGTCGCTGAAGGATGCCATCCCCAAGGCGCTGGAAGGTGCTCGGGAAGGCAACGAGACACGGTTGAAGGAGCTTGGAGCTGAATTGAAGAGCCTGAAGGTCTTGCTGGGCAATAGACTTGGTGGCAGCGGCAACAACGCCACCTCTCCTGCCCCTGGACGGTTCAGCGGTATGAACATCCCAACTGCTTCTCGGCCTGCGGAGGAAACAACTCCCGCCGCGGCGGCCCCGGTCAATGGTACGCCCGCCGCGCCAGCATCAACTGAGCAGCCCTCCCAATCGGCACAGCCAACCCCGAGCCCCAGCACCCCCTCGATGAGCAACAGCCCTCTATCGCAGCTGGGCCGCTCTGCTTCCATCCCAGCCTGGCAGATGGCTGCTGCCAACCGCTCCAAGACCGCTTCTCCCTCGACCCCTTCCACCAGCACCCCGGACAACACAACTGGCGCGGCTCCTGAGTCGAGCGCCCCGGCCAGCTGAACGCATACCAGATATACTTCTCCCAGTGATGTGCACTGTCCCAAGCCATGTAATTAGATGGAGGTTATCGAACGAACTTTACGCATGAGATGTCTAGGCGTTTCTGAATGGTGCGGAGGATGTACAATATGTAGCACGTGAAAGTACCATGTCGCAATAAAGACCACCAATAGGTTCCCGATTGTTCACAGACAAAGAAAGTCTCTTATTAAAAGTAATATGGGCCAAGTCCTTTCGATTTCAGAGCACAATGAACCCACAGGGCAGGCCCGCTCTTATCAATCGATAGACATTCCATGATTGACGCCCATCCGCCGCACTCAAAAGCTTGGCATTTCGACGTCAGTCCCATTCACTTTCTCAAGTCTCACCAGCATATTGCACCTTTAGACACCCTCAATTATCATGGACGACCCCCACCCAGAAAGAATCATGTCTACCCGCGACTCCTACTCCCACTCACGCTCTCATCGAGATCGCACCCACTCCCACACCCGCTCACGCACGCGCTCGCGCTCTCCCAATCGCGATCCTACCTCCAGATCCGACAAACATCGCAGCAGCAGACATCACCACCACCATCGCCATCACCATCACCGACACGACCGCCACCGCGACCATGATCGCGATCGCCACCGCCGCGATCGCCATACATCCCGCTCAAAAGATCAACCAGAACCCGCACCAGCAGCCCCTATAGTCCTTCCTTTCAACTCGCGCGAACTCACCAAATATGACCTGGAGCACTATGCCCCTATGTTCGACATGTACCTGGACATCCAGAAGGGGATTATTATGGATGATTTGGCGGAGGATGAGGTGAAAGGGAGGTGGAAGAGCTTTATGAGGAAGTGGTGAGTATATGTACTAGCTACATACTGTTGGAAGGGATGTTACGATAGATGGAATTGACATGGGTACAGGAACCGCGGAGAGTTAGCAGAGGGGTGGTATGACCCTGCTACGTTGGAAAAGGCGAGGACGAACCTTGCGCAAATGCAGGCACAGACGAGTACAAATACTGGTTATCGGGGCGAATCGCAACAGGATGAGCGTAGGGATGAGACTCGGGATAGGGATGTCGAAGGGGAAGACGACGAGGACGACGATGAATACGGTCCGGTGCTTCCCTCTACATCTGGGCGTGGTGGAGGTCCGTCTTCGGGACCTACGATACCTACTATGCAGGATTTGGAGTTGCGGAAGGGTATGTCTCGACTCATCTTTAATGGGGCTCTTTTGTTTGCCAGGTGGTGGTAAAAAGGTCTACTTGATACAGGCTTGCTAACAACAAGCAGAACTAGCAGCAGAAGACGCAATCGCAGCGCGTCAAGACTCGCGCGCCCAATATCGCAGCGAACTGCGCTCACATAAGTCCGAAATCAAATACTTGCAGGAGGAGGTAGCGCCGCGCGCGGAACCGGGGACTCATGAACGGCGCATGGAGAAGCGACAGGAGGCCGCGGCGAGTAATCGCGCCTTTGCGGAGGCGAAGCGTGGGGGATCTCCGGAGGCAGCGCCGGAGGAGGAGTTGATGGGGTCTGGAGAGAATGATTTGGATTCGCTGAAGAAGGCGAGGGAGAGGGAGCAGCGGAAGAAGAATGAGCGGGAGATTCGCAAGGAGGAATTGCTCCGGGCAAGGGCGGCGGAGCGTGAGGAGAGACTGCAACAATATAGACAGAAGGAAGAGGAAACGATTGGATGGTTGAAGACGTTGGCTAAGCAGAGGTTTGGATAGTTTTTCTGTTTTGGTTTATATAGTGCAACGATCGTGCATTGGCTGTAGACGGGACGTCAACGGAATATGACCGCATATCCCTGTCAACCTCTTACCTACTTTTCATCTACAATTGCTGCTGCAGCATCCTTAATCTGCATAGAGGCAGCCATTTCTCATTTGGTCTTGCCACTATTGAGCCATTGATTCTGGTCAACCTGATGATCACATGCTTAACTTGACGTACTTTTGTTTACAGGCAGGGAGACATCATCCAAACCATCCCATGAACGATGAACCGACCTTCATCCGCGCCTCTTGGCCGTCACATTCAACACTATATCAAAGCAACCCTAGAACAGCCATACCGCTCAATCTCAAAAGCAACAACGCTCTACTACAATGCCAGTCCCGCCAGCAGCACCTCCTCTCACACAGGTAGACAATCCCCCCAGCACATCTCAACGCACACTGATCATCACCTCACCAGACTGGAACACCCACGATGTATTCTTCAAAATCACGCGTGGCCGCTTTCTCGTCGACGAAGCCGAGAACCTCCGCATGCGCGAGATCAAATTCGACATGAACGACTCGCCCGTATCGCAGCAGAATGGATGGGGGCCACTCACTGCACCTCTATACAGAAGTATCCCGACGGCATGTTCAATAAGGCCTTTCTCATGTCGATGGACAATGGCCGCGAAGTCGTTGCAAAGGTTCCTAATCCGAATTCTGGAATCCCACGCCTAACTACAGCCAGCGAGGTCGCTACCATGAACTTCGTATATCCTACCACATCTATCAATGCCGGGTCCAGCTAACGCAACTTGATCCTGGGAGGCCAGAAACGTGCTCGGAACACCAGCGCCTCGTATCTACTCATGGAACTCGCATGCAAAATAACACCCAGTTGGAGCTGAGTTCATCATGAAAGCTGCCGGCGTTCCCTTTCTCAGGTATGGGAGACACTGAAATTGGCTCAGAAGCTACAAGTGCTTCTTGCCATGATATGTCTGCAGAAGAAGTGGCTAAGTGTGTCATTCACGCATCATGGCAGCTTGTTCTACGCCAAAGACATACAGCCATCACCACCAGGAGAAGTCGCCCACTACATCAGAATCTTGGGTCGCATGCATTGCAATCTCTGAGTATCATGGACGAAACTGTTCGAGATTAGTTAGCCCAGGCTTTTCAGATGCCTTCGCGTCTTCGAGTATCGATCCTAACAAAGAATACATTAAATTCTTTGACTTCCAAGGTCAATAATAATGATGATACATGAGATCCTCTGCTTTGCAAATCAATCGTGCTTTGACTGTACTCTAGTCCTCCAGGGTCATCTGGCAATCCGCAACAGTAATACCAAAGAGTCTACATTACCAAAGACCAGCTCAGCTTTACAATCCTCCAGCATCACTACGCAAGGAGCGTGGTTCCTAACAAATTCTAAACGCTCAAAAAAGGATCTACTAAAATTTAGCAGGCGCAGAACCAAGCAAACAGAAAAAGCAGCCAAATCCAAAGCTTTCAGGGTATCTTAGCAACAAATCTCCTTCCGACCGACCAAGTCAGAACTCCAACAAGTCAAGTCACCAGAATAACACTCAACAGGTTTGCACCGCCTGCCACCCACCAAATTTATTTCAGCCCAATTCAGTATTAACTACGTTTATCTTAGACTGACAATAACCAGCCGAAAATACCCATCATTCAAAATTCCACCAGCAATAATATCTCATCCTATCACGCAGACTCCGCGTATACAGTCAAGGCTCTGTTATCAATTTTATATGAGTGCGCGAGGGTCAATCACACATACGGGTTTTGAATAACTGATGTTCCGACAACAACGAAGCCTGACCAGATCCACAAATATGTTGATAACATTACGAAAGTGACTATAAGAAGGCAATTTAAATTATTCGCAGGGACAACGCTTTGGCCATAGACAAAGATCTTTATAACTGATGTAATAAAACCATTTATAGAATATTATATTTAAGGGCGCTGCGTTGATCGATCACACAAAGTTACCAACCGCGAAAGAGCCTGCGGACAGATTTACTATGGCAGAAAAGGTCGCAACTAAGAAGTATGGAAGATGCTGGATATGCCTTGGGCGCAGAGAACCAGAAGTCATACCGTGTCTTCTGGAAAAGCCTATTTAAAATGCGGGAAGCCGGCATTGACAAAGTCCTATATTACTGTATTAAAGGGTCCAATAGTTACTGTAGGAGATATCCAAGAACATCGGCAACTCTTCTTTAGATGTAATGATGAACTAGGAGACCTATTATTAATCTTATATTAAGCAATTGGAAACATGGACTTTCAGACTTCTGAAAGGCAACCCAAGACATCTTTTTGATCTTGAAGCCTCTCATGAAGTTGCAGAGAGCCTGGAAGTTCAGAAGTCTTCTTGGAATAATATAAAAAGTAAATGGACCTTTACCGGTGAAGAAGAACGTATTAAAGAGAAGAAATTGTGGGTCTTCTCTAAAGTTTTATGTGTATTTCTTGATAGCCAATTGATATTGGAATCTGGGAGAGATAAGTCTGTATTTATCTTTCTCCTTGTAAAAAGATGGCAGCTCTTTGTTCGTCTGCTCAATTAATCCTGTATATAAGGGAAATTCTTAGGCATATTTACTGGTTAGATTCGTTCTTCTGAGGACTTGAGTGCCATCCATAATATTCTACGTCTAGTTGAAAATCTGTAGCTTGATTACTTATAACTCACCGGCATTATAAACCAAATGCTGGTTGCAGAACCATCAGGTTCTGCAAATGTACGCCTTCAATGGGAAGTTATTGATGATGAAATTGGGGTAGAGAGTTGTACTTCCTGAAAAGTATTTGTAAAGGCTATTGCGCCCATAAATTTATTTGAATCTCTTGTCCGCGTCGCAGCTCACCAGGAGTAGTATGGCCTGTATTCATTCCCTGAGAATGCAAAAAGAGAATTTCTCGAACTTGATGAAACTGACTGAAACAGCATTACCTCATTTTTGTTGCTGTGCATGGACGCTAGTTTTATTCAGGCTTAAGTTGTATCCGTATGCGTGGTCACTCGAATTAACTTTGGCTTAATTGTTTACAATATATTTGATATGTGAATGTATGATCTGCTTTTTTACCTTGATCTTGTGAGAATGGGCTTGCAGAAGAGAGAGAGGAAAAGTTTGCGAGACCCTGCATTGTCGAAGCCTCGGTGTAAGGCCATGGCGGTTACAGAGGCCAAGTCACCCATCAGACACCATGAACGAGAGGAGTCGTCGCCACTGCCACAGGTACTGAAGCTCGATATCATGGTCAACAGCCACAGGACTAGGTTGTCAAATGAACGTGTTTCCGGAGTCCGGAAGAGAACGGACTGGAAGGTTTTGCTTGCTCAGACTGATCACAAGCTCCCGCTAATTGAACGATACAGTGCTGTTCCTCGATCTCTATCGGCTATGCATGGCTATACGTCGCTCTTAGTTTTCTTGGATAAAAAGCAGAGAGCGCTTCATCAATAAGACTGACCCGCGCCCTAAGCACCTGCTCATTGGACGCAAACTACGGAGCCAATCGCCCGAGGCTTGTGCGGAATTCAGGGCTTCACATCAAATTCCAGCTTGCATGATGACTGTCGGCTGCCATCCACCGGCATGGAACTTAGAGGTTAGTAGAAGGTCAAGGAGAATGTTCACCGCTACTTTAACAGTGTTGATCACAAGTGGAACGTCTGGTTTACCCAGAGTGCGCGTCGCGCTGGAAGCGGCCACCTCAACCGCAGAACTCAGAGCAGAAAAGGAGCTGATATGGACGTACGTTATACTTGCTTCTGCGACGTCATGTGGAACGAATTTAGATAAAAACTCTCGAGCAACACACACGAACATGATGCTCAGTAATACCCCCATTAAAGTTTGGAACACCAATAGTGAGTGTGCAAGTCTTAAGCGAGCCCCAAGGGATCGTGCTCCCTTGTCGGCAATTGTAGACCATACTGCGCGCGGCAGGCCTTCATTGATGACTTCTGCAACAGTGCCGATATGCGTGTAGACATCAATCGTGACGACGAGAGAGGCATCAATATTCGCGATCCAGATCTTGACAAGCGTGCCGTAGATGGCTGGAAGGATGAAAGTGGCGGAGCTGAAGAGGAGAGCGCCCATGTAACTAATCAATCAGCGTTTGTTATCACTCCGGGAAGGGACTTACTTCGAACGGTACCACCATCGCTCGCCGAAAGCGCAATTTAGTGATAGGACCTTGGGTGATTCTTATGCAATGTCCGAATGGACAGGATCCGGTCGAACTGAACGTGTATATCCCTTTGGATAGGTGGAGTCTGCGTTTTATGCCATCGGCGGACATACAGTTTACGTCAGGCGAACGATTGGGGAAAGAAGATGGGGTAACTAGTTAGTTGCTAGGCTGAATAATTGTCACACTAGCAGGTGCCAGTACCCGGACCAGTCACGTGCATTTTGGTAACTGGCTATTAATTCTTTGCAGATACCATCCTCTCACCTCTCACCTGGTGGTGATTCACTTCGGATCGGCCTGCCAACTTGAGATCGGACTTTGTGACCGGTCTCTTTTTGGCGTACCCAGTCATGATCTGGATGATATTAAGGGTTCGTTGATACGGGCTAATATGATACATGTCAGGTCTAGTTGGTCTGTGTTGACGGTCGCCCTGTTGAAGACACTAATACCGTGCAATCCTTTTTCAAACAGTGCTATGCCCAATGACGTATCAGATGGCCTGGTATAATAGGATGGAAAGTAGGCTGATTTCCATCAGCTATAGTGAGAATGTAGCTTGTCAACATCAAAGACAGTGGGTTGCGGTGTCGGGGGATCCGGGGGTACGTTGCCATTTACTTTACGTCTATAGTCATCTGGAATATTTACAGTGTGTATTGACTGAAACACCACAAGGGCTTCAATTATGATCGAATTGGCTTTCACTGTTCAACTGGCATTGCCGCAGATTCTCGAGCGGCTTCGTGGTGGTGGAGAGCTGCTAGCATCCAATAAGCCGTCGGGTAGCAGGGGTAACTCTGCTGAACCATGGGTTCTTGGCCCATTGGAAAGACCAAGCTGGATAAGATTTCCCGAAATCCGATTTCAGCACTCACTTGATAGTCTACGCGACACCGAATCAGGCATACAGTCCGATCTTACAGATTGGAAAATCGAAGCTTAGTTCATGCAGCTTTATGACGGCTGAATGAACCCTCAGATCCTTGCGCCACACTGTATATACGTGATTGGCCCACTACTAGTCCTTTCCCCACTCTGAAGTAGGATTTGATGGACGCTGTATGGATCAACGTTTTTTATCAGAGGATAACTCGCGCCTCCTAACTTAGCTAACCCTCAGCGGGGTATATTGTGCTATTTAGCATTGGTCCATCCAAAAGAACTCAGATTTAATAAGTTTCATTAACCGAGAGAACTTTCTCATCGTAGAAGGTCACTCAGCAAACATCAATGCCGGCCTAGTATAACCGCTAAATGCTCTCCACAGCCTCCTTGGGTGGTAATATACCAAAGTTTTGGTTCCCCTTGGCCTCGAAATAGTGGCCATCTGCGATTCTCTGTGTACCTTCACCGAATAAGTTGTACTGGCGGCTGTTCTCGCCGTACTGGTTGGCAGCCCCAGGCAGGTCAGCTAGATCCGAATCTGCCAGCGAAGGACAAACTCCCGCCAGATCTTCGCGACCCTTCGCCAGAAGGCTGATCTGATTGTGCATTTCACCCAGAAATGCCTTGTGTGTCACCAATGCTCCTAGGCTCTCCAGGATGCCGTCCATCAAGGTCTCCACACGCTGCTTTCCTTGCCTCATAACTATACCTTGGTACACTGACGAATGGTATTCGCCCTTTGACTTTTCACCAAGTTGTTCAATAATGTCCAGTAGATTGTCGGCTTTCTTGTCGCAACTATACAGGGCGGTCTTCAATGCCCGGACATCTTCAGCAGACTTCAATTTCTCCGCAGAGCCTTTGACATCTCGCAAGGTTCTTTCAACAATGGGAAGCCAATTACTGGCTTCCTGAAAGGCTTCCGGTAAGTTAGAGAGGTCTTTGATAGAGTCAAATGCCGCCATTAACTGTTCTATGACCCCAATGAGGTCGGTAATTTGTCGAACAATCTCAGGACTTGACATTCTGGGCCAAAGTACTGGGCGAATGGTTATTAGAGAATCTTGGATGATCATGAGTGGTGTAATTCTTACATTGCTGACGCGCAGAATCCTTTTACTTTGCTGATTGGGAATTCTTTGTTAAAGAAATCGCAGAGTTCTAAGTAAAGAACTGGCAGACGGTCTGCGGTAAAGAAGGCATTCATACAAACTGCCAGAGAGTGTGGGTATCTTTGTCTAAGCATACAACAGAGGTCGCTGTGCTGGATTTATGGTTTCCCTGCGCCCACGGCGTGTAGTGGCAGAACCATAAACGGTCCGTGCGGCCCCACCCGGAGGAAATGGTCACGTTGCAACCCAGTAAACTAATTCATCAACTCCGGCGCGTAAGTGTACCGTAGCGTCAGCCATGGTGTCTTGTCACAAGCGTCTGTCGTTTAACTGGCTGGGTGCTTCTCGACTGATTATGAATGCGTTTCTCCATTTCTACTACCACGGCACAGCCCCTTATCTGGGCGGCTAAAGTTGTTTTCAATGCCTGCAAACGTGAGCACAAGCAAAAACAAGTCAACGCTATCCTGCAACCGCTGGGCAAGGATGACACCAATTACGTTTCGTCACTAGCGGCGCCAAATCAGTTCTGAAAGCCACTCGACTATTGTCCACCCCAACTCGCTCCATGCTCCCGTACTTCGATTCAAAATTCTCTGCAAACCGATTATCGTGGGAGGGCGTAATGAGCTGCGGCTCCTTTGAATACGTACAGTCTGTCCTCCTTCACCAGAAATTGGGAGTAAAGTATTTCTCTGAATCGACATGAACTACCTACTCTTCATAGGTGTGCTGAGATATGAAAGGCCCCACACTGTGTGATTCATGCAAATAGAATTGACTCTCCTGGCGCTCAGGTGGAGCGCGATGTCTCGATAGTGACCCCCTCAATAGCAGATGCCATCAGGTTGGAAGGAACAACTTGGCTCTATAAATGCAATCTAGCCGGCTTACCACCATGCTCATCTCTTGGAGAATTGAGCTACAATTTCAATCTTGTATCGGAGACCGCATGATCTGAAATCTAAGATTCAGCCAATTTAAAATGCCATTTTTCAACCAAGCTATGGTTAATCGGGTTTTGAGGCGACGACGACAACCGAGTTCAGCCCCGAATCCTACTCCTGAGCTCCAGCAGCGAAAGTCCTTCCCCAATGGAATCAAAACTCTCTGTAGCCCAGATGATGGGACAATTGAGTACGTGCCTTATTCGCTTAGTAAACCTCTCTAATGTTCTTCCAGCATCGTCTTCATTCATGGGTTAACTGGTGATCGTGAAGCTACATGGACTGCCGAAGGTGCAACTGAACCCTGGCCCAAAAGTCTCTTGCCATCCATACTCCCAACAGCTCGTATTCTCACATTCGGCTACGATGCATTTGTGGTCGATTGGCGACGCCCAGTTTCAGAGAACTTCATCGGCAATCATGCCTGGAATCTGCTGACATCTCTTTCATCGTACCGAGATAGCGACGACACGGTAAGATAACTGACTCTTGAATCTATCACCGTTGCGGGTTGTTGATACAAATAGAATGGACGACCTGTCATTTTTGTCTGCCATAGTCTGGGTGGACTAGTCTGCAAAGATGTACGATATCGCATCACGTTAGTGGAAGACGCTGGCAAAAATGATACTAATGATGATAGGCCTTGTTTCAGTCGAGGCAACGATCGGAGAAACATCTTCAAAGTATCCTCGATTGTACCCGCGGTATTATCTTTCTTGGGACGCCGCACCACGGAGCTGGACTTGCGAACTTGGCTGAAGTTGTCTCTCGATCCATCGGTCTTCTTAAGCAGACGAATCCAAAAATCGTGGATGTTCTCAAGCGCGATTCCGAGGTACTTGCGCGGATCCAGGAGGGCTTTCACACGATGATCAAGGCACACAGCACAGCAGAAACACCGCCGATTGAGGTCACTTGCTTCTACGAGGAGCTTCCGGTGCTAGGCGTTGGCTTAGTAAGCTAATAAAGAGGCCAGAGCTCCACTTTGATTGCTGACAGCTAAGCAATAGGTCGTGCCACAATATTCGGCCATCTTGCCCGGTTATATCACTATTGGCATACATAGGAACCATATGGATATGACAAAGTTTGTCAATTCCGAAGATCCTGGATTTGTGGCTGTATGCGGAGAGCTACGTCGGTGGATTAGAGACACGGATCTAAACGAGAGATCTCACACCAAGAAATCACCAGCCGTCAAACCTCACGCTGCTTGTCAACATGGCAAAAATGGTCGACAATATAATCTTTTCGCTAATGGCGCCCAAAGGATTGCAGATGGACACTACTTTGAGGCTGGAGGAGATCAGAACTTTGGTATGATTCCACCTAAGGGTCAGTAATGAGTATGGGGAATTCATCGGAGCAAATGGTATTTCATTTGGCGGCATCCCTAATACTTGTATTTATGAGTAGAGTGTTTCCTGGTCAGCGTCTATATAAGGGAGAATCGAGTAATGACACTTCAAAGTGGAGCAAATAATAACAATAAGTGAGCTAATCAAATTTGCATGGGCGACTGGCGAGAGTACTACTTAGTGAGTTTGAGCGACAGGTAATTTTAGTTCTCGGACTGCGGTTCCCGAACTGGGGTTAGTTATGGAACTTGTGTTGTTATACTACCGCAGTTCCTGAACCCTAGTTCAATTCAGAGCTACCGTGATTATTGAACCACTTGTTTCCAGAACCTACCATCTAGTAGATCTCAAGGCCAGATCAGATGCACATGCTATGCCTAATGTAAGCTCATCCTTGATTTTATATACAATTAAAAGGCGACTTATCTGCTGCAAGGTATCCTTCTACCATTTGAACGGACTCATAAATATAGATTCGCCAATGATGTTTTGATGAACTTTTTGGATTTTGCCTTACTACTAAAATCGTGGTTGCAATTAGAGCCGCAATCAAAGATAAAACATGATGACACGACAAACTGCCCACAAGAGATACGCTAGTCGCATCTTGCCATTCTCAGCTCTCATGTATGCATAGGGATTCGCATGCGGGAGCCGGGCCAGGTGCATTTTCTGTAAGCAGATCCTTCGGGCTTTTGGTCTTTTCTTACTTCACAGCTAGTAAGCTTTATGCCGTTATTTCGGAAAACAAGAGCTAAGCTGATTAGGACTCTTACTATCCAACCCCAACTCTGGTAACTGATCGTGATTTGAAGAAGACTGGAGCCGATACAACGGTCAACATTGTGCAATAGAATCTATGACCGCTAGATGCTAGTCTGTGTGTTGTGAATACTGTACTGTGCTCACTGTAGAAACTGTTCGCCAAGGAATCACGCGTAGGTTGGATAAACGTGCTCCTCGAGGACCAAAGGCGTTAACTACTCCTTTTACCATCACAGATCCACGTGTACGCACGCTGTCCACGAATCTTACATGTCTTAGATATCACTGGAGATTTTAATCTCTCACGAGGTGTATAGCTTTCAACCCGTGGCGATGCGCTAGTCAATTACCTCAGGCCTGAATGGTGCATTATTCAAACCACCTTGGCTACTGTTCGTAAGACATTCACATAGACGTTGACATAGGCGCTTGGGGACACATTTGAGAAGACGTTTGAGAAGACGTTTGAGAGGGCGTTTGAGAAGACGTTTCAATAATGGTCTTATAAGAAGCTCTAGTTTATAGAGTCTCTCCTCTCCTCCCAGAACCACTGAGATACAATATTCAATGGCAGAATGATAGAATAATATTGTATTATTTTGAAGCAGGCTGCTGCGGGTTCCTTTTCTTCTGAAGAACTTTTTTTATATAAATCTTTGTCCTGATGAGACAGCAGACATGTTTTCTTCTATCTATAATTATCTTGTATCTAGTAATTAAAATAATAAGAACTATATTCAAGATTTTCATTATCTGGTTTTTTTTTCTTGTATTATCTACTTCGAGCGTCTCTGACGCCCTAGACCAGGGTGTCTAGAGCACCAACCATCCCCCTAAAACAAGCTCACAGCTCTATCGCACTACCTGCCAGTCCTCGAATCCCTGATCCCAAATGACACCTCCATCACCACTCCCCACCTCTGGAACAACAACCTCCACGGCGACAACATCTTCATCGACCCGCAGAACCCCGAATTTATCATCTCCATGTTCGACAGGCAATCAACCCAGATCTCTCCTAATCACATCCCTGACCCGGCTTTCCTCGACTGGGATAGCCTTGAGCCCGAGAGGGCCCGACCTAGTACCCAGACCTCGCCTCACGGGTCTCACACCCCCAGGAAAGAGCCGCAGCTGTGCGCGAATACACCACCCAAAACATATTCATCGGCTGGCGCAAACTCACGCGCGCCAAGAGCCCAGCCCTATATCGAGTCATTGAGTCCAGAAAGACGCCAGCGTTTGGGATGATATTTCTGGCCCATCGGATGTTCGAGTACGGCGAGGCGCACTTTCAATCACTTCTGGTGGATCTAAAGGACCACTGGGAAGACTTGCCTGGCGTTTCTGGCGATTTCCCATTCCCGTTCAGCTTTTCAGATGCAGAGATCGAACGTATCAAGCTAGTTAGCGATGGAGCGGTGGCGGGGACGGAGCTTGTCGCTGGGGTGAAGGAACAACTGGGCGATTTGTGGCCGGATAAGGGGCTTATTGAGCATGAGAGGTATGAGGAGTGTAGGGCTGCGCTTGAGGAAGTTAGGGATCGGATTGTGGAGGAGTTGGGTGAGAGGGAGGAGGAGAGGGAGGAGTATCGGCGATTGTGGCCATTTGATTGAATTATTTCATAGGGATATTGAGAAAGACTATCTGTTCTTATGTACTATGATTTTATTGAAGCAAACCCAAACTTTTCTAGTCCTCTACATCTATCTACCATAACCAATAAGCCGGTACCCCTTTTACATAAGTAGAGAGACAACCAATTCGAAACGCCCACCTAGCAACTCATAACCCAAAACCAAGCAGAAACTGAGGAAGGTGATTTCAATAGATAAGCACTCAAGCCTTCCTCCCCAAATCCACATCCCTAACCAGTTTCAACATCTCCGTCCCCTTACCCACATCCTCTCCATCCTCCTGCAACCCAAAGAACGGCTTAACAGCCACATCGACTGTCTCCTCAAACAACTTTCCGACAACCAACTCCTTAAGATCCTCGCCAGTCTGGGCGAAATCCGGATAGGCGTTCAATTCCAACAACCAGGCATTACCCTTCTTATCGACCAAAAAGTCCACGCCAAAGAGTTCGAACGCATTCGGCAGAGTCTGGAAATGCACCATCATGCCCCTAGCCGCAGCCTCGAAGATCTCTCCGGACACGGCGCAAATCTGATCAAATACGTTCTGTTTCCATGTATCGCTGAGACCGGGGACGTAGTCCTCGAGGCTCCAGAAGCGGCGGACGCTGTCCGGGTTGGCGCGGCCATTTTCCTGGAAACAGGTGTTGGTGAGGTGGCGGGCGAGGTCAGTGACTTCGTCTTCGTCTTCGAAGGGAGGGCAGTAGGGTTTGGCGGCGAAGAGGGCGAGCATTTCCTTGAAGACGTAGATCTTAAGGGAGCCAACGGCGAGGACGTAGGTGCGGATGTGAAATTTGCGGTTGTGGGAGGAGGGGATGAGGAGTGGGGGGTCGATGTAGGGTTGGGCGATGAAATGGCGGAGTTGGGAGGTTACGACACCGTGGTTGTCGTCGTCTTCATCGTCGTCTTCGGGTTCAGGACGCTCGGAGCCGCTTTCATCGTCGGAGTCGGGCACTTCCCATTCTTCGAAGATCTCGCGCAGGCCATCTTCGCTGTTGAAGAGGCGGATGCCTTGGCCGCGGTCGCTCATGCCGGGTTTGAGAATCCACCATTCTTTCTCTTCGTCGGGGAGGGTTTCGTTCTTTGCGAGGCTCTCGCGCAGCTCGTAGGCCTCTAGGAGAGCGTCGTCGAGGAACTCGGCGTAGTCGAGCTCGAAGTCGAAGCCGGGCTTGAAGTGCTTGGCCAGGACGCTGTCGGGATGTTTGGTGACCCAGTTGATGACGGTGTTGGACAGGTAGTGTTTGCGGATGAGGGCTTTGCGGATGATGTAGGCGTTGGCGAGAGAGGTGGAGGTGTGCATCATGGTGTGCTCAAAGTCCAGCCGCTCGTATTCACGGTACTGGAAGATAGGTGTAGTGCGAGAGGGGAGGTCGGAGAGAGATGAGATGGCACGACATTGGCCATTGCCAAGACGACGCTGGAGCGCCCGCTCCATCAGACTCTGGACATAGGAGTCGTCGCTGTCGACGAGAGAATAAAATGTAGGCTCAGTGTTATTATCCGGTCTACATGAGATGAAATCTATCAGAATACCAGCCATCACAGACAAACCGAGATAAAGTAAGTAGCAAAAAGAGCAGTCGAAGGGGCAAACAGCAGAGCGCGAGATGCATAAACTAGCTTGTATATCTGACAGACGCGCAAATTCTATGTTATATGCAACCACGCCGCGACTCAGCATCATTCCACTCACAGCGTAATCTCTCCTTGAATTCCAGGTGTATGCATGAAATTGGCTCGAAGCGGCGTAACACTGTGATGCATTAGCAGGACAGGACAGCAGATTAATGGGGCCTTGACAAACCTGGTCATTCCCTCCTTGACAGCCCAGCCGTCGTTTCCTGGAGCACCCTCCTCCACACTTCTATACACGTCCGAGAAGTTCGGTGCCCATTCGAAGTGCTTGTGTTGAATGCGAGACCGCTTCAACGGAGTCGTGCCATCCACAGCCGGTGCCGACTTCTCTCCCGAGCCCACAGTCTGGTGTCGCACATCGTGCTCCTGCTTCTCAGGCGAATTGGCTGAGGCCGAGGCGTCGACCGCGCGGAAACAGCTGCCCGATGACCAGCGGTTATCGAGCATGTTGGTGTACAGCACCTTGTTCTGACTCACACCAGGCTCCAGCGGGACATTGACGGTATATAGGTCCACACCGTCAGCCCAGTTCTTGTGAAGGTACTCGATTAACCGAACGGAATGGCGCGATGCCTCCGCGATGACAACGGGATCATGGTCTCTGGAGCTGAAGGCATATGACAGTGCGATGGCGGGCTTACCGCAAACCGCCGCCTCCATAGCACCGCCAATGGTTCCACTCGACAGGGCGAAGAGAGCAGTGGAGTTCCGGCCGTAGTTCGGACCGGACACCACGAGGTCAATCGGGCCACGGTCTTGAAAGTAGTGGTACAGGCCGATCTGGACACAGCTGGCCGGTGTAGAATCCACAAGAATCCATTCATCTCCATAGTAGCTGTCATCGTCGCCCTCATTCATGCCATGAGGGAATTCGTGTGTGGTTCCATCGTCTTTGTGCAGGGTACCCGGACGGAAGTAGGTTGGCTTCACGGCGGCCCCGATCAGGTGAGCTTTACCGATCCATGATCGCTGCTGGTGGGGGAGAACTACAGACACAATGTGCCCGGCAGACTGCAACGATTGGACGAAAGAATGAATGTACGGCGAGGACTGGTTGGACGGCGGGCCGTCGTCGTTGACAACCTATTAGGCGGAGGATGGCGATCAGCATGAGTTCGGAGGGGGATTGAGTTTTAACGAGTTGGCCTTGCTCCAGAAGCAGACTGTGAAGAGAGTGGTCTACTTACTAAGATATGCATTGTACCGGGGTGAGGAGTCTGGAGAGAGAGAGGGAGGCAGGGGTGAGGAGAGGAAGAAGAGATGGCGGAGGGGCAGGCAAAGGCAGAGTTGGGCGGCAGCGGAATCCCCCGCCTTTCTCCTTCTCCACCCGTTATCGATAACTACTACCTGAACTATATCCATCGCTCTATCTACAAATCTCATCAACACATTCAAACTGCTAAACACTGTATCATATTGGGTATCTCGAAAGTAATAGCTACAATGTCTCTCTATGGTCCTATTGGATTATATGGCTTCGGCGTCTTTGCACTCCTCGGGCGTGAGCACTTTCCCTGGCTGTACCAGTGCCAGAAGCCTCCGAAGGCCCTTCGCCTCGGCCATCTTCTGCGTCCTCTTCGTACAGATAATTATCCTCGTCAGTTTCATCTTCATCTGCAATTCCCCCGTTATCTTCCTCATCTTCTTCCTTCTCGGCTTCCTCAGGCCCTGTCACTCTCCTTTTCTCGGCTGTCTTTGAGGATTCCGCAATCGGTAAATGGAAGAGCGGCTCGTCGATCTCCTCTTCTTTCTTGATGATGGGTGTAGCACTGCGATCCTCCTTTTTGACGACAGGACCGGATGTGTCACCCCGACTGCTAAGAAGCGATGCAAACACTACCCATGCGAGCCCGGTAGAAGCCATGCTGACGCTCCAGAACAGGAAACCGAAGACAACGAATGAGGTAAGCCTCCAATTATACATTACCCAGCTAACATGAATCAGCTTCATCGACCCGAGAAATTAACTGAAGAGAAAGGATAATCAGGACATACCGTAAGCCCGTAAACCGCGCCCGGAAGGTGACCTTCGCTTTGTAAACTTGCATTATCTCTGAGCTATGGAGCTCCAAGCGCAAGCTTCCTGGTATGTTGCGCCAACCACGAGCGAACTGCACTCGTTCCATCATCGGCACTTGCAGCTTCTCCGCTTCGTGGTGCCAGCCCAGCACGTAAAGTGGCATGAACGAGATCTTACTAGCGGTGTCCACCAACGGCGAAGTATAGGTAAGAATAGCAGGGCGGCGCGAGTGGGAGAGAGTCGTAACCGAAGTATTCGTATCGTACGCAGCAGATGTGGACGGGCGGGAGAGAAGGGCCAGATCTAGCATGAAATTACCCGCAGCAAGGTTGGAGGGGGTTCGTGGTAATTCGAGCTCCACCTGGACATCGTATGGCAGGGATGGAACGAGGTCGGATCCTAGGCTTGCGACTCCCCAGGGAGGTCCTTCGCTAATCGGCAACAGAAAGAGTCAGTCACAGTCATTGAAATATTAGTCAAACGACAGTATAAAGTGTTCAGCGTCTGCCCTAAACAAGGACCCTAACTCACCCAAACTGCAAGTGGACAATTCGTTCGAGGCCCGCCTGCGGGATAAACCTGTAGTAGAAGACGCCATACGCGACCGTCGATGTGACGATCATGGCTATAGCCGTACAGAAGAAGAGGAAGGCCCCTAAATAGATCTTCTGGGCTCGTTTTGACACGAGCGGTCGGAGAGCTTCTGCCATTGTGTGCTACGTGTTTGCGAAAGTCGTTAGTTCCTGTTCTGCCATGATTGGATGGGAGAAGAGAAGGATTGTTACCATGACTTCTGACACGACGCCGCTGCGAGGGTCTGCATCATCATCAGGATCCATGGTTCCTGGAAGGATCTGTAAAGTTAGGTAATTGAGAGGTGCGGTGACAGGAGAACCGTCGCAATAATTGTTTTGTTCCGAAGAGGTACGAGGATCGCGTCGACGTCACCGAACAGCACGGCGCGGAGAATCTCCCCGACGCCGATCCCCAATTTAGGAGGGACTGACTGGACTGCTCCACAATATACACACTCCCTATCTAGACCATCCCTCCAAATGAGGTTGGGTTTTCTACGGATTCGTATGCACCAATACTCATGGACTCATCTTTTTTTAAGATAAACTTATCGTTACAGACTACCGATGTGGTAGATGGAATGGATAAGAGAAAAACACCAACATGAAGCGTAAGAAACACGAGCAAAAAGGAACAAGATATAAGCACCATGTAGCGATGGACCATGCTAACACGTCCTAATATGCATACCCCGCCCAGAAACCCAACCGAAACAATGAGAAAAGACATAGAACAGTACAGCATGCCA